TGCGTATTGACTACCTTCACCAACTGGAATGCTAAAATAAGCATGACTCAAATTAATTACCAGGAAAAATTTACTTCTAGTTGTGATGGGTACTAGTAAAATATAAAGACCAGTGCCCATTAATAGAAGGTTTAATCAAGTAGATGTGATATATCCACACTATGGAATACTATTCAATCTTAAGGAAAGGCTAAATGTTTGCATTTACAGCAAAATGGAAGGAATTCAAAGGATTGATGTGTAGTAAAGCGAGTCAGAATGACAAATATTAGACACTCACATAGCAGATGATTCAACAGTAAAAAAAAACTAGTAAACTAGTAAAAAAAAAACTAGTTAAGAAACTAGCAGGCATTAATAAATGAAGTGAGGTTTCTGATGTTAAGAGGGAGAGAAGAGGGAGAAAATTTAAGGGGATATGGGCCTCCCTGGTGGCACAAGGATTAAAAATCTTAGCACTATCAAGCTATTGCCGGCCACTGTGGCCTGAGTTTGATCCCCGGCCAGGGAGCTGACCCACATGGTGCAGCAGACCTCTCCAGTCTTGCCCGCTGCTCCCCTCACCTCTCTCACCCCCAAACCTCTGGCCTACACCCCAGTTCTTGTATGCATAACTAAATAAAAATAAATCTTAAAAAAAAGGGCCTGTATTTATCTTTTAAAAAAAAAAGAAAATTTAAGGGGATATAAAGGATGGTAGTGGTGTGGAAACAAAATAAAAGTGCACCAATAGTGGATATGGGTGCTCATGACATGATATAGCCACCTATCTATCTATCAATCTGTCATCTATCTATCCATCCATCCATCTATCCACACATGCTTACACACATACACACACACAGATTAGATACCACTGAATACTAAAATGTGATAATGTTATTTATTGCTTGAAAATCCTGGAAAATCTCCACCCTCAGCATTTGGGTTTCCTCAGGAGTAAAACTGGAGTACTGCAAGGGCTAGAGGGATAATGAGGCTTATCAGATCAGATAAAGAGCTCTTTGAGACACCAGATCCAGGGCTTCAATGCTTTTTCCAGGCAGTGGCAGCAACAAAACCAGAGAGTCAAGTTCAGCCTCCCAGTCACTCCAAAAACTCTTCGGTTCCTCTCTTTCGATGTTGGCTGCTGGGTGTCTTCTTTCTTCTTTCCAAGGCAGGAATCTGGGAGTTGGGGTCCAGGTGTCTTGGAGTGTGTGGGGACCTCAAGCTGGCTCCCATGCTGCCTGTTATTCTCTTTCACAACCCCCCACCCTACTGGATAACCTCCTTTTTACACCATTTAACATGGCTGGCTCCTTAGGGAGGGGCTGCCCACAAGCAACAACTTTTGGCATGGGCGAATAAACCCGCCAAGTTTTTCTAACGTCTCCCACTGCTGCAGCAGTTTGGGAAAAATGCCAGTCTTTCCCTGCAGTCTACACTGCAAGGCCCAGTTACAACAGCAATTTACATTTCCATTAAGAGGAAATAAGTGTTTCTTTTTCTCCACACCCTTGTCAATACCTATCCTTTTGAATCTTTTTGATATACACCATTCTTACAGGTGTAAGGCCATATCTCATTATGGTTTTGATTTGCATTTCCTTAACAAGTGAAGTTGAGCATTTTAATGTTAGCCATTTGTACATCTTTATTGAGGAAGTCTATTCAAAGCCTCTGATCATCTAATAGGCAATTTTACTGTATCCTTTATATTTCCATATATCAAGTATAAGTGTCTTGCTCACATCTTATTTACAATAATAGCATTAGGGAAGTCTAATTTAGTTTTAAGACAAGCAAGCTTTAGAAGTACAAAAGTTCCCCAGGTCAGCCACTGGAAGTCTAATTTTTTTTTGTCAGTTCTTTCCACTTAGTTAAAGATGCATGTGGACAGCCTATGATGGTGACACATGAAACCAGTTGGGATTGCTGAAGTTGGAGGAACCCCCGGAGAATTTAGTCAGCCAGGATCTCAATTCTTTTACAAATGTGTTGTAATCACAATGTTATTAGAATTGCTATATGCAATTCTTTAGATGGCCTGCCTTTCCCAGCTATGCCACCTTCAAAGGGAAATGGAAACTAGAATTTTTCACTTTTGCACAGCCAGACCGACCTTTTGTTAGACTATTTAGTTCAGTAGCAAAACAAGCACAATTTTTTTTTAAAGTTTTATTTATTTATGCATACAAGAACTGGGGTACAGGCCAGAGGTGTGAGGTTTCACCAGAGATAGAGTGGGGAACAGAACAGGCAGATCTATTGAAATACACTGCTGAGGGGAGCAGTGGACAAGACAGGAGATTCTGCTGTGCCATGTGGGTCACCTCCCTGGCTGGGGATCAAACTCGTGTTACAGTGGCTGCAGATAGCTTCAGAGTGCAGCTTCATAGTGCTGTGTCTTAACCCCTTGCACCACCAGGAAGGCCCCACACCTTAGAAGGAAAGTTCTGAGTGCAGGATTCCTCCCTTAGTGCACTGAATTATGTTCCAGTATGAGCTTGTCTTAAGGTGAAATCTGCCCAAAGCTGACTCACATACACTAGAACAACCCTGACCCCTTAAGGCCCATGAACCATCTTGGTGCCACAGAAGAAACAAGGCCTAAACAAACAGAAATTGCTGAGTATATCCCAGAAGGATTAGTACCAAATTATAGAGATCCCACACCAGGGAGAGAAACCTACCCTAGAACTCCAGGAGTGACAGAACCAGGAGCAGAAACTGCCCCTATGGGCACATTTCTCCTGCTTTCCTACCATCCCGGGGAGGTTGGCAATTTTTCAGTCTGGGCCCAGGTTGTGTACCATTTGTGTCAACCTCAGAAAGGCCATCAGTTGTAAAGTCACAGACAGATTTAATTTGGAAACCAAACAACAGAAGATACTGGTAGAGGGCCTTCCTGGTGGCACAAGGGGTTAGGATGCAGCCTGTGAAGCTGTCGCAGCCTCTGAAGCTTGAGTTCAATCCCTGGCCAGGGAGCTACCCACATGGAGCAGCAGACCTCTCCTGACTCGCCCGCTGCTCCCCTCAGCAGCATGTTTCAGTGGATCCACCTGATCTGTTCCCCACTCTGTCTCTGGTGAATCCTCTCACCCCCCACCCCCACACCTCTGGCCTGTACCCCAGTTCTTGAATGCATAAATAAATAAATCTTAAGAAAAAAGATACTGGTAGAGAAAATACAAAGGTGGCAATAACCACAAGCACATTTGGCTTCTCTCCATGGACCTATGGGTCTTTGTGGACCCCTCACCTACAGCCTCCAGACACATCAACCCCTCAGTTCTGAGGGAGAAGGAAACAGTGGGAAAGTGCTAAGTATTATGGGTTCTGTAGTTTGCTGTTAGGTGCATGAGCGGTGCTTTCTAGTCTCCCCCACCACATGTACATAAGAGTCTGATATTAATGCTGACAAGGTTAATGATTCACTTATTATCTTCCTTTAAAAACAAAAAAAGCTTTAAGACTGGGAGAACTTAGCATCAATGAATCCAAATGACATAAGTTGAAGAACTGAGACCACCCACCCCCAAATCATCATAGCCCCTGCATGTCTGTAAGTGGCTCATCCATTTCTGTCAGCCTGGGCCTGGGTGCAGACAGAGGCAGGTGCATCAGGTTAAAAGCATAATGTCTCCAGAGACACACATGGGTGTGTGTACTAGTCCTGTTACTTGTCAGCTGACTCACACTGAATTTAATCCAACAGTCATTTTACAGATGTGATTTTAAGTAACAATTGTCATGAATATTTATAGAGACCTGTTGAAGGTTCAGACCTTGGTCTAAGCGCTCAACCTGTTTTATCTTCTGTAATTTGCTCAAGTAGGCATTTCAAAGGAGGGGCCTAAACAGTGGTGTTTTTTCAATTTCTCCAATGAGCTCTCAGGTGAGTCATTTTGGGAGCCATGACTGCATACAAATGTTTGGACACTGATCAACTGTGCAGCCCCTTAGCGGAAGCAGGCCTCATCTGGCACTCAGTAGCTCAGTGCCCATCACCAAGTCTCACTTTCCTCACTCAGACAATGAGAGCAAAAAATTCTACGTGTGATAATTGTTCAGAAGGTGAAATGAGCCAGTGTAAGTGGTTGTGGCTGATACCTACAGAATGTGTGAAAAATGTTTAATGCCATAATTAGGCTAACTCCGTAGGTGGCAGAAAACCCCAAACCCAATAAGCCTAGGTCACTCTGTCTTCACTTATGTTTATTGCTCTTTCATCCCCATGGTTCATTTCACATCCTAAGGGCTGGGTTCTAGTATGTTTAAAAACAAATCCTTGTGTTTGGCTCAACAGGACTGAGTTTGAATCTGTGTTATTTATCTTTCAGTTTCTATATCCATAATTTGGGACAATACCCCTGCGTTGTGAGAATAAGAGATGACACCCGTTAGGAGTACAACCTACAGTTATTGTATTACAGTTGGTGTTTGTGTCATAGACTGTGCAGATGTGAAAACAAAAGGGCTGCAAATCCTTTAAAAATTTAAAGTAGGAAACAGAGGCAGAGAGTGGGGACGAGGGCGGAGGATAAAGTGAGACCCTGGAACTCAGGCCACAGATGCTTGTGTTACCTCCACTCCGGACTCACGGGTGAGACACTGGTTACTAAGCCCTATAGCGTGGCCAGGGATATGAACTCCAGAGTTTGTTTCCCCTAGTCAGGGCTTTTTTTTATAGGATTTCTCCAAAGTTCTGTTAGGGGTCTGCTTTGAACCCAAGAAGAGGCTCTGCAATAAGATCTGGTGGGGCTGGTTCTTGACTTTGGTGCCACAGCATAGAGGGTTAAGACCTCTTCCCTTTCAAAGGAAAATGGCTTTATTTGCCAGAGGCTCAAGCTTGTCTTGAAAATGACATTAATACTAGTATTAATGACAATTAGTATTAATTGTATTAATGCCAATTAGTATTAATTGTCATTAATACTAAAAGAAGTCCATCTAAGTGCTTCCAAATGAGTATTAGTTTGCATGTTAACCGATGGTCTGACATCTCCCTCTTCTGGATGGTTGGAAATTGGACATTGGTTCCTTTAAATAAATAAGTTCTTGTTGGAATCTTCTCCTTCCTGAAATAGGTTCTTTTTCTTTCTCTTGAGGAATTTTCTTTCTCTCTTGCTGAAGACCATTCTCCATTGGAGTAAGGCAATGTTTTCACAGGTTTGCCTTCTTTTACCTCGGCTGATTTTTTTAAAACCCTGCTGAATTCACAGGTAAGTTTTGCATGTGAAGAGCAGAGAAACAGGAAGTGATTCTGCAGAGAGCAGAAAGTAAAAGAAAACTTCTTCCTGGAGGCGGTGCTTCCCCAGCCCCTACCGCCCTACATGGCTTAAAGAGAATTTTTTCTGGTTGTGTGAAGAAGCCTTAGGGATTTGAGCGCGTGGAATTAGGCAGCGGGACTCGGCGACAGGGACTTGGTGGCTGTGATGTTGCCAGGACAGGGCGCTGCAGGTGAGTGCCCAGCGCAGAGCCACGTTCTGGGGACCCTCAGGGGACAGCTTGGACCTGCCAGAGTGGGGACACGTCTGGGTCCTACCAGCACTGCGGATCCTGTGGGGATCTCTGAATCAGAGCCACCGGCCTTGCTACTTTTTAAGTCAAGACTTTCCAGTAACTCTGCTGTTTCTGCTCTCCTGCTGGATCGGTTTGGAGATTCAAGGATACCTTTTTTTTCCCCCAATCTACCTACTCTGTTTCCTTTTCTATGTGACCCTGGGGCAGAAGATTGAATCCTCTGTCGGATTCTAAAGTCCTTGGTCTCTAAAGCTACAGCCTCTTTTCCTCGTGGCCTGTTCTGGGGAACTTGTTCATTTCTCCTCCACTCCACTTCCTACCCCATCTCAGGCTCCCAAGACAACTCTAAATGGTTTCATATGAGGAGTTCCTGGATCGATCTGTTTCTTTGCAAAATGTATTATTGTGTACACTATTTTTTAAAACTATGTGAACTGCAGCAAGTCAGTAATTTCTCTCCACCTCTGTTTCCTTATCCTTTATTAAATAGGATTAATACCACCTAAAGAGATGGTTGTGAGGATCAAGAAAATACACAGACTAACACTACTAACTACCCCATGTCAGCAGTTATTACGTAGTAATTATTATGGAATTGCTCATTCTCTTTCCTTGTTTTTAAAAATAACCTCCGTGCACTTTAAGTGCAATATGTCTTTTGCCAAGTCCCAGTTTCTACCACCACATGGTATCACACCATGGACTGTCTCCACAGTCCTACACAGGACTAGATAAGAACCTATCTGGGATGTAGACCCAGGAGGTTTGCCGGTCCTGGTGTAAGTAACACCTGATCAGGCCAAATGGTGCCAGTTCAGTCCTCCATTTCCCTACCTGCCCATGAATCCTTGACCTGGTCCAACTTACAACTGTATTTGGCATTTCCCGGGTTACCAATGAGTTTGGGCATCACTTCGTATACATTGTCTATTTGAATATTTCTGTTAGGGAATTTATGTTCATCACCATTTCTACATGGTTTTTTTCCTTGTGGATGTGCAGGAAAACTTCATGTTCTAGATGTTGCTTCTTGAGTGGCAGGGCCTGAGACACAGATGAAAGGTATGGTCCCTGCCCTTGTGAAGCTCAGCCTTGTGACCAAGCAAAGACTGGTGACAAAACTGGGTTAGATTCGGGGGTGGAGGTACTCAGGACTTGGGAAGGCATCAAGAAAGGGTCAGGGAGTCCCCCCTGGGATTAGTATTTAGACACTAGCAGAAATTCATTTTATCATTGGTGCAGAATCAAGTGGTAGTGAAGGGCACTGATATTACTGGGGTGCCTGGACTTGGCCCTTGACAGGCACTTTCAGATGCCTCATTTAATCCTCTAGCCGTAAGATGGGTCTCTGCCCACTGATTGTATTCTGATTGGAGGAAGAAGAAAGACGATTTCAAAGAAGAGAGAGGTTTGATTCTTGTTTCTGCTTTCAACATCAGAAAACATTTCAACTTAAGCAGACGGGCAAAGCCCATGTGTGTTTTATTCACTGATTTGTCTCCAGGGCCCAGGCTAAGGTAAGGGCCCCAGGATCGGTCTCTGGTAAAGTTGTTTCTAGAGTTTTCTAAGCTGCTGAGGGCAGGATCTACTGTTCTTGGAGACGATTCTTTTATTTGAGTATAAATGGGGAAAACCATGAGAGCAACTCTCTGAGGGCTGTGGTGAACGCCCTGCAGTTTCTAGAACTCAATATCTCTCAAAAATATTTACTGAATAAAAACAATGAAGTCTTCATAATATACTCAGAATATCGGTAAAATCCAGAAATATGAAAACAAAGGGTTCTTGGTTATCAACTGGTTTTCAACTCACTCAGATTTTTAATATGGAAATGAAGCCCCTAAAGTAATAAAGTCACACTTCCAGAGCCAAAGTTGAGGTTGGCAAGGTTTCCCACCCAACATTTTTTGCAGTTCTAGCAGGAGGCCTTATTAGAAGCAGCCGGACTCATATTGAAGTGACTCAAGCTTTTAAAACAGGAAGTGGTGTCAGCCTATTAGCTTAGTTCTTCAACTTTTATTCTTGTCTTAGATACACCGGGGGGAAGAAGCCTGTGAAGAAGCTACAGCCACTGTGAGTGTTCCAGGATTTGCTTCTTTGCTAAGGTCAGTTGGGCTTGTGGGGAGGAATGCCTTTGATTCTAGAGTTTTCTAAGCATGATTTGGTGGCCTCAAGATCCATGGAGGGGATTCTTGTATTGAGCCTTCATGGAGAAACCATGGGAATTTGTAGTCTCTCTGAAAACCATGGCAAGGGCTCAAGACCTGGGTAAAGTAGGGGCTCAGATCTCAAGACCCCTTCAGCTAAGGTTGATGACTTCCCAGGGGGCTTTCTGGATGCTCCTAGTACAACTATCTGTACAGAGGCCTCATACTTCTCCTGGTCAAACTTGTCAAAGTACAGAAACCAAAATTTAAACCTCAACTGACTTTAGTTGCTGCAGCTACCACTTTCACCTACACACACACATACCCCTAGTAATTAAATTATTTGAGAAATTAAAAAGGTACAGAACAGTACAGTAAGTAATATAATGGCAAGCAAGGGCCTATAAAATCAGAGACCTTTACTTGTGAGATTAAACATTTAGATTTGAAGTTTTGGATATCATTCAGAAGGAAAATGACAGGGTTGGTTATCTGTTTTGTTGAGGTTGAATCGTTATTGGGCTGTGGGAAAGTCCCGGCAGCAGGGCCCCACGGTGGGCCTGTTTGTGTGCAGGGTGGATGTCCGTCAGGTTCTGGGTGAGCTCCCTGCCTGGGGCAGCCTTCCTGGACAGGAGGAGTGGTCACTCTGTCACTTAAGGGTTTGGGCCTGAGAGCAACTTGCAAGTAGTTTGAGCCTTAAATGACAGGCAGACCTCTGTTTCAGAAGATGATGCACGTTTAGTGTTTAATTTCCTCAGTCTTAAAGTAGCTATCTTATTCCTGAAAGAGCTAGGATGCTGCTAGAATGTTGCTAGAAGAATTGCTTGTGATAGATGAAACTTATTTGCAATTTAATTGTAGCATATAAGGCAGTGGTTGAGTTGGAACTGTGGAATGAGATGCTGAGATTCCAGCATGAACTGGCTTGGTTTGGAAGTTATGACTTGCTGTAGTAGATTTGTTAAGAAATCTTATTTTGGGGGGGAGGTTGGGTATTTTAAAATTTTTTAATAATTTTAATCTTTAAAAATGTAATGATTATATGTCTTCCCTTGTTAAATTCCTTCACCGATTCAAACTGCTATTAGAATAAGCTTTCTATCTTGTCAGGGACTGTCACTGATGCTTAGTTTTTTGCATTAGTTAGCTTAGTTTTGTCACTGAAGCTTAGAGATTTGCATTTTAACATCGAGTGAGATGCTCAGATCCAAGCCTGACTCCTTTCTTACTAGCTTCTTACTAGCTTATTTCTAACCTGATTTTTCACAATAATAAAGTGAGGACAATAACAGCAATCTCTTCAGAGGCTTGTAATAAAAGGAGCGAAGAAAAACTGTTTTTATGTTTACATGGTTATATGTTATACACATTTATGTATAATATAAGCTTTTATTTATATCAAAATACTTTTAGGCATATATTTACTATATAAAATATTAAACATGCTTCTCAATTATAAAATACAAATGTATTTTACAGATTTTTTATTTAACAGATGTTGTTTAATCAAAAGGAAAGTTCCTGGAGGTATTTCCATCCAGCCCAGACCCTTTGCCTTGTATGCATTATATATCAAAATAGTCTGATTTATATGTTTTATATATGTATATACTCACAATTTTTATATTATATATTGAATAAAATTGGGGGAAAGTCTCTAGGTGTCACCAAGAATTACTTTTAAATGGCAAGCGTCTAAGATTTTTCTTTTTCTTTTTATACTTTTCTGCACTTTCTGTAGGGAATAAGCATTACATTTCCTATTTTAGGATTAGAAAAATAAAACAACGAATGTTCTTTTAAAAATATTACTCTAGGGCCTCCCCGGTGGCGCAGCGGTTGAGCGCTGGGTTGCGAAGCTGCACGCGGCCTCTGCGGCGCCGGTTCGATCCCCGGCTACTCCCCGGCCACCGGAGGAGGGTCCCACATGGCGCGCAGACCTCTCCTGCCGCCCGCTGCTCCCCTCAGCAGTGTACTTCGGTCCTCGCTCTGGCTCTGGTGAATTCTCTCACCCTCCCGCGCTTCTGACTGTACCCAGTGCATGTATAAACAAAACAAACAAACCAGCAAAGAAATAAATAAAGCATGCCTCTATTAAAAAAAAAATAAAATAAAAATATTACTCTAGGACCTCCCTGGTGGTGCAGGGGGTTGAGCACCACACTATGAGGCAGTCTGCAGCCTCTGCAGCACGAGTTTGATCCCCAGGGAGCAACCCACATGGCGCAGCAGACCTCTCCTGTCTCACCTGCTGCTCCCCTCAGCAGTGTGTTTCAGTCAGTCTGCCTGTTCTGTTCCCCACTCTGCCTCTCGTGAATCCTCTCACCGCCCCCCCCACCCCGCATCTCTGGCCTGTATCCAAGCTCTTGTATGCATAAATAAACAAATAATGTTACTCTAACAAAGTTTCTAGCCTAAGATTTCATAGAGTGAGACAAGATTCCATAAAATAAGAACCTCCTTGGCCCCTTACAAACCCATACCTAGAAGCAGCCTTTTGTTAAAGGAGTATGATTCTGTGCAGGCAATTTCTTCCCAGGTACTCTGAAGGCAGAGCTGTGTAACCTAAACAAAGAAAGACTGAATATTTCACTCCAGTGTGTCCTAGAAAACTTAGACCACAAAAGAAGCCTTACCAGCACTTTCCTTTCAAAGTGTCCATTTTGTAATGATGCAAAAGTCACTTAGAAATCATCGTCACATAATTGCAAAGATAATGAAATGAGAGACAAGCAGGCCAAAGAGGACAGGCTGTAAGGGATAGGCATCTTATATCCAAACTCATGGCTTCAGATTGTAATGTTATTTTTATAATTTTTAATATATACTGTCAGAAAATGCTGTTGAATGATACTACTTCTAAAACATTCCAAAAAAAATAATTAGAGAGGTACATGGAGATTTGCATTTTAACATCATCCTAAATGCAATGAGACAGTGATTGTGTAAATTACGGTTCTTTCTTTGCTATATGATCTAAAATGAGTACAGTAACCATTGCTATTGTTCAGAAGTAATAGAAATATTGTTATATATCAGGAAAAAATAATTGTGGAGGGAATAAAGGCAATTTTGCTTTCATTTGACTTTTTTGGTTGATTTTATTCAGTAAAATGAGATTTCAACAGTTATCAGCACTGATTTAAAATATTAAAAACACTGAACTTAATGATACTAAATAAGATTTGATCTAGCTTAGATCCTTTCTAAAATCTGAATGAAATGGGTCTTTAGAGATTTTAATTTAGATAGGTACATGTATGGTTAGGATAAGTAATACATGCTTATGGTATAATTTCAAACTGTACAAAAGGGTATATAATGCAATGTCAGTCTCTCTTTCCTGTCCATCTGAGGCAGACACTAAGCAACTTCCAGTGTGCTTTATTCAAATATCTATGAACATACCAATGTAGGCGCCACTTAATAATATAGACATACATATCCAACCATGTTAATCCTCCCATTTAAAAAATAGCCGAATAGAGTTCTATTGAATATGATTAATAGTTTACTTAATTCCTCTAATGTTGATAAACATTACTTACTTTAGTTTACTTAATTCCTCTAATGTTGATAAACATTCCTCTAATGTTGATAAACAGTTTTTTTCTGCTCCTTTCTTTCTTCAAGAAATGCTGCCATGACTAGTCTTGTATATGCGTCTTAGAACATTAATGTTTAAGCTAACGTAGGAAAAACTTCTGAAAGTTAAGTTGTGGCTCAAAGGAAATTTGCATTTTATTTTTTGACAAACATGGCCAAATTACCCACTAATCTGTTTTTTTTTTTACTTTTTTTTTTTTTAAAGATTTATTTATTTATACAAGCACTGGGTACAGTCAGAAGCGCAGGAGGGTGAGAGAATTCACCAGAGCCAGAGCAGGGAGCAGAGCAGGCAGAGGGACCGAGGTACACTGCTGAGGGGAGCAGCGGGCGGCGGATGTCTGCGCGCCATGTGGGACCCTCCTCCGATGGCCGGGGAGCAGCCGGGAATCAAACCGGCACTGCAGAAGCTGCTGGCAGCTTCGCAACCCAGCGCTCAACCGCTGCGCCACCTGGGAGGCCCCCACTAATCTGTTTTTATTCCACCATCTCAGAGCTCTGAGTATTGCAAGCTTTGTGTTCACCAATGTGGTAATTGTATGAAGGTCATTCATAATTTTTTTAAAATTGTGAATGAGGTTGAACATCTTTTCAAATGTTTTAAAAGTCATTGGTTTTAAAACAATAAAGCTACTGGCACTTTGAACTGTCTGCATATGGTCTTTATCTGTTTATGCATTGAATTACTGGTCTTAAAAAAAATGTATTACATTATCAGAACCCTGTTTTAAGAAATCAGTCCCTACTCTGTCTATATCACTGCCCTTATTTTTTCCCAGTACGAGAGTAAAAAATTTTTTTGCTTGTGTTATTTTTGCAAAATATTTTAGTTATTTAAGGAAAGTTATCAACCTTTCTTTAATGACTTTCAGATTTTCTGAAAGTTTCATCACTGCTGCAATATCTTTTTAAAAATCCTCCTATGTTTATTTTCTTAGTATTTTAATTTTAAGGTTTAAATCTTTGAGTCATCGGTAGTTAATTTTGACGTAAAGAGTTCAGTTAGGATCCATTTCAGTTTGTTATAGAAGTCTGTCCAATTATTCTGACACCATGGATTAAAAAGACCACTTGTATGTGCATAACCCTTTTTGTAGTTTGTTTGATTTGACCATTTTTCATTGTTAACTTCTAATTTCACTTTTCATTGTTAACTTATGATTAACACACAAATTTCTAATTTTATTTCTAGCTTTTAGTAGAGAATTTGGACATTATATCTGCTCTTTGTAAATCTATTGAGATTTTATTTCTTTGGACAGCTTTTGTGAATATTTTGCATGTGTTGGAAAAAACGTATATTTTCTCCTGGGAGGAAATGCCTAACTGAGAAAGTTTATTGTGCTGTTTAGATCTTTCACAGTCTGATATTTAGTATACCAGAGTTTTTAGTTTTTGAGAGAGATGTGTGAAAGTTTTCTGGTGTTTTGGGAGAAAATAAATTCTTTGAGTTCTCTAGTATTCTTTTTAAAGTTTAAGCTCATCTAATATTTTGTCTTCCTTTAAGAATGCAAAAGCCTTGTCTGCTTTCCAGAAGGCCTCACTTCCTGTTCCCCAATCACTTTCTTACATAAGAACACACCCAAGCTAGTATTTTAACATTAATTTCATTTGCACAGACAACATCTTCTTACATCCTCCTTAACACATTACAGGAAAGGGTTAGCTACATTCCTCACACCACCCCCAAATTCTATGGAAACAATTTTATGGGTTTGTATGTCTTTTTGCAGAACCCCCTTACCTTTCCCCTTGCTTTTTTATGTATCTGTCTGTGATCACTGAAAATCTAATTGTGTCATGTTGAGTGTTTTTAAAAGGTAGACAATTTGGGGAAAGTTATATTACAACTTATTTTTTTCACTGTCATAATCGCAAGTCTTGGATACCTATCCATTTTTATTTCAGAAGACAGAGTACATTACTCTTGACTACTGCATAATATTTTGTGGTATAACTACTGTATACCTTAGTTAATTGAGCTACTTCTTTGCTGAAGGACATTTGGAATGTTTCTCACTTTTCAGGGATACACATGTTGCTGTGGTGAGACTTGCTGAGCAGACCTTGATGAACACACGTGTTTCTATAGCTGTGATTTAAGGAATTAACTTACTAGTTTGTTCCTGTCTATGGTCAGTAGTTTTTGTTTGTTGTACTTTGAACATATCTTGTTAGGTGCTGACCATATATTTAACATGTTCCCTAAATAAAACTATTTTCATGATAATTGATTACTTTTGCAGTGAAAGATCTAAACTCTCTCTCTCTGAATCCAAGGCAAAGTGTCCACTTGTAAGACTGTCACTCCAGTTTTCTGAGTCAAGAAACTGTCTCAGGGAGAAAAAAAAGGTTTTGCCTCCTAATTCCAATTCTAAGAAGGAGGAAATCGGTAGCTGTCTTTCTCAAGATATATGAAAAAGCCTCTCAGTGTAATTTTTAACAGTAAAGAAATGGATAATTGCTTGAAACAAATTTTGATATATCTATTTGCTGGCAAACAAACATTAAAAATATGAAATATTAAAAATATGCCAAAGGAGACTAATAATAGGATAAATGTTCATTATAGATATAAAGTATGTATATGGGGAATCCAGATACATACACCAGAATATGCAGCCTGTTTCCAGTTTCAGTTTTTATATAAATGTATTTCTGTGTGTGTCTATCATATGATAACTGTGATTGTGTTATAATTTACTATAGCTTCAATTTTTGCAACCCCCCCCCCCGCTTCTATAATTATGGGGGTGAGGAAAGGTGTTTTAAAAGGAAGGGCTAAATTTTGAAGACTTTTGGGCCACTTTTCAATAATCAAAAAACTTACTTTAATGGGAAAATCAGAAATATTTCTATTTTAATGTCAGATGTGAGAAATATCTTTGTCCTGGTTCACCTGAACACCACCTCTGAATGACAGGATTTTTTTCATCCAAGAATGTTAGCAAACACAGCGGGAACTTAAAGATATCAGAACCCCTCTTGATCCCACACCATAAATCGCCTTAACTTGTTTGCTCACAGCTTCGTCTGTCTCCCCCTCCACTTCCCCTCCCAGGTCCTTTGTGGTTACTTCACTGAACTTGTGCCTCCCTGAATTGACTCGAACAATTCATATTCCTTCATATTGCTTACTGTGGCCTGGTCACAGATCTGTGACCATTGGCTGGTTTGTATATTCGTCTTCGTATATAGCAAGCTACTTGAGAGTAGGAGTGCCTCCTGCTTTGCCTTTTTTTTTTTTTTTTTAAATTCCCTGTCGGACATAAAATACAGGTATTTGATTTGATGAAGGAACACACCAGTAAATGATACTTTTCTTTCTCATCTGAACATAGCATTATATTTTAATGCAGGTTACAACCACATTCTCCTAACGCTTGACAAGCATGGATGATTTCAACAGTTGTCTTTATAATATTGGGGAAGAGCTGGATAGCAAAGAGGTGGCCTCCCTCAAGTTCCTGAGCCTGGATTACATCCCGCCAAAGAAGCAGGAACCCATCAAGGATGCCTTGGCATTATTCCAGAGACTCCAGGAAAAAAGAATGTTGGAGGAAAGCAACCTATCCTTCTTGAAGGAGTTGCTTTTTCGAATTGACAGATGGGATCTGCTGAAGAAACATCTGAACACTGATAAGGAGGAGATGAAGCAGGAGCTTCAGATACCCAGCAGGGCCCAGATCTCTGCCTACAGGTTGGGAGAGCCTCTAAAGGGTAGGGCTGGGAACTATGGGGGGATGGACATATCTTTATAGGTTGTGCTGATTGTGGGTCGTCTGTGTGATGTGACTTTGGAGGCTCTGGGAAGATGTGCCACGGAGGCCAGATTAAAAAATTCATAGACCTTGTGTATAATTCAGAAAAAAATGCAAACACCATAAATTTATAAAAGACATTTTTCAAAGTGAGTCATTATAGATATGCTGAGGCATTAAAATAGACATTTTCTAAATTTTCTAGCTCTTTCTTTCTGTGATGTGTCTTATTATCATGTTATCTCTGCTTTGCTGATGGCCACATCATGTGTCTCCTTTGTCTATTAAAAGCATTCCATCCAGAAATCTCCCTCCCACATTCTCGTGGATGATGATGGGAATTCTTATTCCACATATAAAGACTAGCTTTATAAGCTCGTTAATAAGGTATGTGCTGCCAGTCATTCTGATTGGCCAGGCTGGGCCTCCCTGACAGTGCCTAGCTTCTGTGACCCTGGGCACTGCGGGATGAACAGTGGTAACCTGGTCATCTGCCCTGCCAAAGGCCTTGCAGCTCAGCCTCCTCCTTCCTGTGACAGAGCAGGTAACCTGCAAGTGATAACAAGCCATGTTCAGTTATGTTTTTGAGATTGAGACAAATCTTTAAAAATGAAAACACTTCTCTTTCAATTTTCCCAGGTATCACACTCCGCTTGAAGTTATTTTTAGCTTTCCTTTCAGGAAACTTCCACTAAAGCCTTAACTGTGGTCCATTTCATTTCCTCTGCTGTTTGCCAATGACTGGCCTGTAGGACATCAAGATCTCACAGCCAAGGCTGAAGACCATTATCCCTCTACTGGGCTGGCTATTAATACCCTGGGCCATGTAATCTAGACACTTGAGATTTTGGCATATTCCCTCTCATATGTTTCTATACTTGAGGTTTGACCATTTTGACTTTAAATGACAAAAGGTAGTCTGGATGTATTAGCTTCCTAGGGCTGCCATGACAAAGTGCACAAACTGGGTGACTTAACATGTAGAGAAGTCTATTTGCTTGTACTTCTGGAGACTAGAAATCTGAAATCAAGGTGTGAACATGATTGTTTCCTTTGGGACACTCTGAAGGAGATGCTCTTCATGCTCTCCCAGCTTTGGCAGGAGTCAAGTCAGTCTTTGTGTTCCTTGTCTGGCATATGTGTCTCTCCAGTCTGTGTCTGTTCTCTGTGTTTGTCTGCATTTCCCTTTCCAAGGACTCAATTCATAAATCACGTGATTTGCTGGCTGTAACTTAAAGGGAAGGCATTGGAATGGAGTCTGTTGTCATTTCATATATCAAATGGGAAGTTATTTTAGAAAGCACTTCTAGCAGCAATCCCACTGCCCACCTGTGACTATATACATGTCTCTTTTCACCAACTCTCTCCTCTGCAGGGCAGCAGCCTTCCTGCCTGCCCGTGACCTGTCAAGGCCGCCCACCTGCAACCATGCAGGCCTCTCTTGGCAAACCTGACCCTTCTGGGGCAGCTCTTCCTGCCTGCTTCTGTCTATGCAAGTGTCTTTAACTGTTTCAGCCCTTCCCTAATAAACCTGACCTTTAAATATATATATATATATATATATATATATATATATATATAAAAAGAAAACATTTCTAAAGTGTCTCTGTTTCCCACCCCAGGGTCATGCTTTTTCAGATTTCAGAAGGATTAGATGACCCCAAAGTGAAGGAATTTAAGTTTTTTTTGCATGAGAAGATCCCAAAATGTAAGCTGGATGATGACATGGTAAGTTCTGGTGTCTTCCCAAGATTTAGCCTGGAGTCAGCCAGTGGGATTTCTGACAATGGAAGCCTGTCTAGTAACAGCAACCCGAAATCTCACTTTTTAACCAGGGGAGAAGAAAGTTGTCAGGTATGAATGTTAAAGATATGATTCCTGGGACCTCCCCGGTGGCGCAGCGGTTGAGCGCTGGGTTGCGAAGCTGCCCGCAGCCTCTGCAGCACCGGTTCGATTCCCAGCTGCTCCCCGGCCACCGGGCGAGGGTTCCACATGGTGTGCAGACCTCTCCTGCCTCCTGCTGCTCCCCTCAGCAGTTTACTTCGGTCCTTCTGCCTGCTCTGCTCCCCGCTCTGGCTCTGGTGAATTCTCTCGCGCTTCTGACTGTACCCAGTGCTTGTATAAATAAATAAATAAATCTTTAAAAAAAAAAAAAAAAGATATGATTCCTCTCTGAACTGTGAAGTGCTGCTCACACATTACCAGGAGCCAGGGGAGAAGGCTGGTTGTGGGGGCACAACCCCCTGGGACCCCACAGAAAAGGAAAGACAGAGATGGTTCTGAAATGTTTTTCCCACTCTGTAGTCTCTGAAACAACCCAGGACTGGGAATTTTTTTTGTATATGTGTGTTGTGTAGTGTGTTTGTATATGTGTGTGTGTGTGTGTGTGTGTGTGTGTGTGTGTGTGTGTGAGGTGGGACTCAGGTCTTGAAGAGGACCTGATGCCAGAGGCAATGCTGAGTGTGAGGCAGTCGCAGGGCTGTCACCATGGTGACCACCATGGATACTCAGCCCTCTCTGTTGGGCCGTTTCACAGTCTTTACATAAGGAGTCTGCAACTGTTTCAGCTCAGAACTTAGGGCCTGGGGACCGGTTGATATCTGATATGGCTTCTCCTCTGTCTTTTTAATTCCATTTTTCTGGGCCAGAAAACACGGAATTGCTTCCCTAATAGCCTGTTGACTTTATAAGACCAGGATAACCTCTCTCAAGGGTTGACATGGTGTAGGGGCAGGAACGGGCCACAATGCAGGTTTTCTATGATCCCGCAGACCAGGTAAAGGGGGAGTCAGAGTGAGTCCTTGGAGCGTTTTGCAGGCTTTTTATTTAGATTTACCAGGCATATGGCAGGCAGGGGTGCTGGGGGGCCAGGAGCCTGGCAGTCCTCCCAGCCCCAGCAAATCCTCACTCTGTCTGGGCTCTGTGGTGTTCTCTCTGCTTCTCTTCTTCTTCTCTCGGCTTCTCTGCTCCTGCTGGCGTCCCCATGACGCCGCCCTTAAAAGCCCAGTCTCAGCCCAGGTGAATCCCATCTACCTCTGCCCACACCCTACTCCAGGTGCCCGCCATCAGGCATGCATTCAGGACCGCAGGGTTCCCTCATCTATCCTGATGGCGGGAGGGCAGAAAAGCCTGATACTTTTACCTTACCCTACACATGGGAAGCTGGCATGGGCCCTTGGTTTAGAGGAAGTACCAGTTTAAAAAAAAATCTAAAAAGCCATGACTCAATCCAATCTTACAACTTTATTTCTCCTCTCTCTAGAATCTGTTTGATGTTTTCATAGAAATGGAAAAAAGGGTCATCTTAGGGAACAGAAACTTGGACTACTTAAAATTTATCTGTGACCGTATCGACAAGAGCTTGTTGAAGATAATCAATAATTATGAAGAACTGAGCGAAGGTAGATATGACCTGATAGCTGTGGCTTAGCAGAATGTTTTCTTAAACCCACAAATTCCTTTGTGCATAGATGTTTCTAATCAAGTATGTGTGTTTCTTTAATTCAGATGCAAGAATGAGTCTTGAAAGAAACCCAGATGAACTTTCAAATGGTAATACTTGGAGATATGTTTTCAAGTTTACTTAGTTCATTCACTTTGAAATGGTTTTGTGAGCACCTTCTCTACTCATTGAAAGATAAAAAATGAGTTGTCAAAAGGCACAGACCCCAAAGTCCCAGGCCAGCAAGTTTAAAATAGGTGTGGAATTGATTAGTAATAAGGCTTTATTTTTTTCCTGTGTTTTCTTTTTCTTGATATGTGCCACATGTGTGATGTACCAGCCGGTGGGTTCAAAATCTCAGAACTTCCTTATTTCAGTTAATTCCTTCTTTAACGAGAACAATTTGGCTCTGCCTTTCATGTCAGGGTTCTCTTGACCAAGTGTGAGCACCTCCTCTTCATCCCCTGCAAATACCAGACTCCCCATCCCCCAAGGGGATGCCTCCCTGCAATCCGCCTGCCCTGACCTTTGGGATGCTCTAGTAAATCACACTTCTTCCCTCAGAGAAGGAGCTAGAGCCAATCCTCTGTCTTTTTTTCTACTTGTGAGCTAGGCTGAATAAGAAGGGACTGTCAAGGATCTCCTTCAAAATTTTATTTTATTTTTTAAAGATTTATTTATTTATGCATATAAGAACTGGGGTACAGGCCAGAGGTGTGGGGTGTGAGAGGATTCACCAGAGACAGAGTGGGGAACAGAACAGGCAGATTGACTGAAATACACTGCTGACGGGAGCAGTGGGCAAGTCAGGAGAGGTCTACTGTGCCATGTGGTTTGGCTCCCTGGCCAGGGATCGAACCTGTACTGCAGTGGCTGTGGATATCTTCTTAGTGCTGAGTTTTAACCACTTGTGCCACCAGGGAGGCCCCTCCTTCAACATTTTAATAAGATATACTGTTTATAAAAATTATATATTATCCCTGAAAGTGATTTTAAATTCAGAGAAATTTTTTGAACCCCAGTAAACACATGACCCACATAATAATGTTAATATTTTTGGGTTGTATCTTCACCCTGGTTGTGTGTGTGTGTGTAACAGACCTTGGATCGGCTTTTGTTAAAAATTAACTCTGAGAAATGACCCTATAGTTATCCTTTTACTCCTTAGGCCAAGGCTTTAAGAAGTTGGGGTAGTTTTAAATCAAAAATTCATTCTGAGCTACTACTGTTTTTTTTTAAGTGGTGGAGGGACATAAAGTTATGAGACAAAAGAAACTTTGATTGTGTGTGTCCAGAAGTGTGTCAGTTGTCCTGCCTGCAGAATCCCTGTGGACTGCAAGGATGTTATGTTCAAGGCAGTCTGTGAATTTTCATTTGAAAGGGACCTTTTGTTGTTCTAGGTGCTACCTGTTTCTTTGGCAAAACACTTTTCCTTTCTTTCAGTTCTTTGTCTAATAATTAAATGGACATAAGACAAAATTTAATTTTGTAGGTAAGAAAGTCCCCCAAAATATGAGACTCCAAGAAGTGACCAAGGCATGCTTTTATACCTTTTATACAAAGGAACAGATTTATGTGTTCCCAAAGGGTTTGGGCTTGGGGTAATAAATTACTGGAGAGTAACAAGGTTTGTTTATGTAGCTTTCTTAGCCCTTAATTCCCTATCTCTGGTGATAAGGATGACTTCTACCCTCCTGGAAGACAGAGGGTACTCTCAAGAGGTACCCTAATTTATTCTGCTTTGGGGTAATAGAGGGGGGAAGTGTGTGTGTCCTTCTTGCACTGGTTGTTTCTCAAGTACTTCTAATTCAAAATACAAAGTAGGGGTCTCCCTGGTGGTCAGGGGTTAAAGACAGTGCTATCAAGCTATCACCAGCCACTGCAGCACCAGTTTGTCCTGCCTGGCCAGCACCCACGTGGCGCAGCAGACCTCTCCTGCCTCTCCCACTGCTCCCCTCAGCAGTGTATTTCAGTAGATCTGCCTGTTCTGTTCCCCATTCTGTCTCTGGTGAGTCCTCTCACTTCCTGCACCTCTGGCTTACACCACAGTTCTTGAATGCATAAATAAATAAATCTTTTTAAAAATCCAAAATACAAAGTAGCCTATTTTGGGATGACATATTCTAAACCTCTATGTTACTTGCTTCTTTACCAAAGTAATTTCCCTGTCATGCCTCATTCTAGAGGAGCCCCAGTTGCTCACAGGACAGAGGTCCTTTGCAATGCTGGCAATGTCCGACTCTCCGGGACAACAGGACAGTGACACACAGGTATGCGGAAATTCTGAATATCTTTATTCTTGGCATTGAATATTCTAGTCATTGTGTTCCTTATCTTTTTTAGCTTACAGATTAGCTAATAAGGGGAAGGAGCTTATTAAACATTTTGAGAGCCAAAAAAAAAAAAAATTCACAAGTTTAATGTGTGACTTTTTAATTTAAAAAAAGTGACCTCTTAGGTATCCTAAGGTTTCCTCAATTTTTATTTTAAAGCCAAACACCATGGAATTGGCCAAGTTAGAGGACAGGAGGGTGAGAAACCTCCTAGGTAACTTTTTCAGCAACTGCATCAGCCAAAATGGAAGAGGGATTTGGGGGAGTGTCTAGCAGAACTGGAAAGCAAGGCCTTTTCTTTTAGTTTAACATTTCAAAACGTTCTCCTTTGTGATTAGGTAGGTATAAACTGCAAATGTTCATCATTGGGCTGTCTCTATATTCTTGTCACCGTAAGTCAGCACAAGACTTCCCTTAAAGACTTAATCACTGTTTATGTACCAATCACATTACAACTCATCAGCTCCTCATTCCTCTCTCAGTCTGAAAATGAAGGGCTCAGTGAAGTCACGTGGTCCAGTAAAGTGCTCTATCTACCCAACAGCTAATGGTACAGAGTGAAAGAGAAATTAGGTAACTTGCCTAAAGTCTGAAGGTTATTAAGTACTGGAGTCAAGCATCTGGCCTTACCTTAAGAGTTGCAGAGATTTCCTAGTAAATGCTGAATATCTCAGCATCAAAACAGCCCTGGGAAATTCAGGAGTACTAGGCTATTTCTGGCTGATACTGTCAGGCACTAGATCCGAATACTGTAAACTGCATACAAGCCACACTGACCAAGCTCTCCCCTGTCAGTGTGGTCCTGAGAGCCAGATTAAGCCCTCAACTTTAACAATCCTGGGCTCCCATGCCATGTGTGATGGAGAGGCCCTCCACGGGCAGCCCAGAAGCATGGGTGAGTTGTAGATAGCCAAGGGAAGCACAAAGGTCCTGGGAAGACAGCCCAGCTTTGTGCTCTAAGACATTCATTCATTCATTCAGCAATTCCTGAAGATCTCTTACATATTCAGAGTTCACCGATGTTATCTGCCGTGAGCAGAAACGATGAAAAATAATGACAACAATACTAAGTTCAAAGTGCTCCAGAGGCCGAAGTCTGGGCTACTGACTTTACACACTGACTGTGGGGAGAGCTCTGGGGAGCCTGTGTGAGGGCCCAGGTGGAAACTTGTTCCTCAGGGGAACAACGTCCCGGTGGAGGTCGTGGGAAGTGTACCTGTGTCCAGTCCCGTGTGGAGGCTGCTCCACCTCTCACTAGTGTTGTTTGTTCACATCTCAAGTTTTTGACCCGCAGGTTAACTCCTGGGTTGGATTTTTATTTTTTTCAGACATCAGACAAAATTTACCAAATGAAAAGCAAACCTCGGGGATACTGTTTGATCTTTAACAATTATGACTTCAGCCAAGCACGTGAGGATGTGCCCAAACTTTATAAGATGAAGGATAGGACTGGAACAAAATTGGATGCAGGTACAGTAGAACCCAAAAGACAGAAGTACAGTCTTCCTGATAACTGTGTTTTAATCAAAAAGGACAAAACAAAAACCATACCAACAGAGCCACGTTTAAAAAAAAAAAATGGATTTAACTACATTTCCCTGAGGAGGTGAACATTTTTTACATATTTGCTAGTTTCTGTATTAACTGTAATTAACTTTTAAAATCAAATCAAAGCAATGCATATATAAAGAAAATATCAACTTTTACTAAAAGACATAATTAAAAGCAGCAATGGGCTTTGTTTTTAATTTAATTAATAGGAGTACTGCTATGGAATGTATTAGGTACTAGCCAGAAACACTGCCTTGGTTTAAAGACACATAAAGAAGTTGCATTTATAAAAGTTGGGCTATGAAGGCAGCAGAAATTGTGAGATCATAACAGAAATAGCATTTTCAAATGTTAGATTAGCCAGAAATTCTTTTGCTCGACCTATTTAGGCTAAGACTGAGTGCTTAAAAGTTAAACGAAAAAGTAATTTGCAGGATGTGAACATAAATATGCCTACAATTAAAAGTAAGAGTAGAAAGAACTAAATTCAGCTTTTGTGATCTTAAGAATATTTATTTGATTGAAGAACTTTGGAAAATGGTGTTTATGAGTCACATCAGTTCATGACTAATTTTTTTTAATTGAGTAAAGTTCAGAAAATTAATGTAGATTGATTCAAATCATCAGCACTCTGCAATTGGACCCTGTTAAGAGTTTTATTTTTTTCAATTTTTAAAAATTTTTTTTAAATATTTATTTATTTATTTATACAAGAAATGGGGTACAGGCCAGATGCACAGGAGGGTGAAAGGACACCAGAGACAGAGCAGGGAACAGAACAGGTAGATGGACCGAAATACACTGCTGAAGGGAGCAGCGGGCGAGACAGGAGAGGTCTGCTTCGCCATGTGGGACCCTCGCCGGCCGGCCGGGATCGAACCAGCGCTGCAGAGGCTGTGGACAGCTTCACAGTGCAGCACTCAACCGCCTGTGCCACCCGGGGAGGCCCTAGAGTTTTATTTTTTAAAATCTGTTTAAAAAAAATTCATTAAGCCAATCTATTCTAAGATTTAAAAAAGCACAGAGCTTTTTAAATGACTGCATCATTGATTACATACATCTTGGTCCTAAAGAAAAGGTTTCAGGCCTTTGATATCCATTCATTTGCTATTAAAGCATTTTTATTAAAATAATGCTTTTATTTCTGGTCTTTTGGTTAAAGGGTCCAAATTTGCAGTTATGCAATATGATTAAATCTAAAGCACTAGTCACAGCATGGTGACTGTAGGTAATAATAATGTATGGGGCTTCTCTGGTGGCTGAGGGGTTAAGTCTTAGTGCTATCACTGCTAAGGCCTGAGTTCAATCCCTAACCTCTGGCCTATACCCCAGTTCTAATATGCTAAAAAAGTAAAAAATAAAATAAAAAAAATTCTTCCTTTAAAAAAAAATTGGGGCCTCCCCACTGGTGCAGCGGGTTGAGCGCCGTGCTGTGAAGCTGTCCGCAGCCTCTGCAGCACGGGTTCAATCCTGGCCAGCCTGTGAGAATACCATATGGCGAAGCAGACCTCTCCTGTCTCACCCGCTGCTCCCCTCAGCAGTGTATTTCAGTCAGTCTGCCTGTTCTGTTCACCACTCTGTCTCTGGTGAATCCTCTCACCCTCTCGTGCATCTGGCCTGTACCCTGGTTTGTACAAACATAAATAAATCTTTAAAAAAAAACAACCAAAAAACAAAGTGAATGAAAAAAATTATGCCATCCCTAATTCCAGGAAAGAAAAAAATTAATAGAAAGGAAGAATATTAAAGAATATAATGTTTATATAGTATTAATAATACAAATATTACTATTGATTCTATTAAAAATCATAAGTAATTGTCTAAGAGGTCCAAATGCTCATCCTCCAATATAAGAACTCATTATGAAAGTCTAAATTTTATAAGTGAATAAATAGCAACATACTCAAATTCATTACAAAATGAATGAGGCTAATAAAAAATATGTAGCTAAAATTTGAAAGTAGTTACCTTCATGGGACATGACTGGTTAACAGAGTGGTAGAGGGGATAGCTATGTGACTTTTTAAAGATTTATATCATATATTTTGGTAAATATAAATATTTTTGAGAGACGTCAGGATAAAATAACTTTTTTTTTTTAAGATTTATTTTTATTTATTTATACAAGCACTGGGTACAGTCAGAAGCGCGGGAGGGTGAGGGAATTCACCAGAACCAGAGCAGGGAGCAGAGCAGGCAGAGTGACCGAAGCACACTGCTGAGGGGAGCAGCGGGCGGCAGGAGAGGTCTGCGCGCCATGTGGGACCCTCCTCCAGGGCTGGGGAGCAGCCGGGGATCGAACCGGCACTGCAGAGGCTGCGGGCAGCTTCGCAACCCAGCGCTCAATCGCTGCGCCATCGGGGAGGCCCATAAAATAACTTTTAATCCTGCTCTTTTCCTAAAATTTTTTTTTTTGCTTTTATCCTGATTATGTAAGTAATACAATGATCTTTTATATTTAGATTGATTTGCTAGTAAGTCCAAATAGTAGCTTACCCAACTTGCAGACCAGTTGAGAAAAGACAGTGGGCCAGCAACAGTCCTGTCATCTTTCTCATTTGCCTCAGGACTGGGGAATGTTTTCAGCTAGTGGCAGTAAATATTAGAAGCCTGTGGAACGAAGCCACTAATATCGGGGTCCTGCTCTTAAATTCTGGTTCAAATTGTCTTCTGATCCATATTAAACCCACTGTTCTTGCTAGCTCTGGGCTGTGGTCTGGAAAACATTGGTGTAATATAACTTTTTAAATTTTACTTTCAGTGGCTTTGGAGGAGACCTTTAATCATCTTCATTTTGAGGTAATTATATACAATGACTGCACAGCAGAGAAAATCTGTGAAACTCTGAAAACCTACCAACTCATGGATCACACTAGCAAGGACTGCTTCGTTTGCTGCATCCTCTCACATGGAGACAAAGGCATCATCTATGGCTGTGATGGGCAGGAAGCCTCCATCTGTGATCTGATCTCTTACTTCACTGGTTCCAAATGCCCTTCCCTTGCAGGCAAACCCAAAATCTTTTTTATTCAGGCTTGTCAAGGAGAAAACTACCAGAAAGGTATAGTTGTTGAGACTGACTCTGAACAGAATGAAGGCTATTTAGAAATGGATTCATCACTTCAGATGAGATATATCCCAGATGAAGCTGACTTTCTGCTGGGGATGGCCACTGTGAACAACTGTGTTTCCTACCGAAACCCTATGGAGGGGACCTGGTATATCCAGTCACTTTGTCAGAGCCTGAGAGAACGATGTCCTAGGTAATTTTGTCTACTCAACCCTTCATTCTCCTCTAAATGGCTAGTGGTAGATCACATGGCTGTACTTCCCAGGGCAGTTGCAAAGTGGGAGATGTGGCCTGTACTAACATCTTTAGTTCATAGTTGGGAAAACCAAGATATTTATTGAGCAGTTTCTTTCATCCTGCCTCAGAGGAGAATCATATTACAGAGTTGAGAATGAAGTAAAGTCATATAGTCCAGCTTTGTCTTTAAGCAGAAACACGATTAAGCCAACTCAACTAGTTCTAGAAATCTTCGAAGAAGGCAATAAACCATTTCAATATTTAACATCCTCCAACTCTGTCCAAAGTTCTATAATAGCTAATCAACCTCAAATCCTCTTAGTGGATAGTGGGAGGTAAGTGCTGATGAGTAGAAACCCTTTACACCACCAGTTTAGCCTGATTCAGAGCCAAAATATGTAGCAAAATATTCTTTACTCATTTACTATATTCTATGCTGCTTTTAGTTAAATGATGGCTTCATTTGTTAGAGTTCACTCAAGGCGACACACACTGACCGATGAAAAGCAAGGAATTTTCTGCGTTATGCTAAATTATTTCTCATGCTTTTTGTTTTTATTTTAAAAAAATTTTTGAAGTAACATTGCATTATAACATTACACAAGTTTCAGATATGATCATTATAGTCGATTTCTGTATACACAACATTAAATTTAGCATTAGACTGTAATTCTATACTATGTCATACATTGACCTCTTTTACCTGATTAAGGACCTCTTTTACCTGATTAACCCATTCCTTTTCTTCCCTCTTCTAATTTGGGCTTATAGTCTAAAAGTGTTTTAGTTATTAATAGTTCATTCATTTTTTTTTTGTTTTGTTTTTTATATCCCACAAATGAGTGAAATCATATAGGATTTGTTTTTCTCAATCTTAGTTTATTTGCAACTCTTGGCTATTGTAAATAATGCCACAAAGAACATGGGGGTGCATATATCTTTTCAAATGTTTTTATATTCTTTGGGCAAATACCCAGAAGGGGGATAACTGGATCATCTATTTTAACTTTTTGAGGACTCTCCATACTGCTTTCCATAGTAGCTGCATCAATTTATTTTCCTACCAACAATGTGCAAGGGCTTCCTTTTCTTCATATTCTCTCCAACATTTGTTGTTTCTTGGGCCTCCCTGATCGTGCAAGGGGTTAAGATGCAAACTATGAAGCCACAGTCACTGTGTCTTCACAGTGTCTTCACAGTCACGCAGTCACTGGAAGCATGAGTTCGACCCCTGGCCAGGGAGCAACCCACATGGTGCAGCAGCCCTCTCCTGACTCATCCGCTACTCCCCTGGGCAGTGTATTTCAGTCAATCTGCCTGTTCCTCACTCTGTTTCTGGTGAATCCTCTCACACACCATACCTCTGGCCTATACCCCAGTTCTTGTATGCATAAATAAATAAATCTTTAAAAAAACAGATAAAACTTGGGCCTCCCCGGTGGCGCAGCAGTTGGGTGCTGGGCTGCGAAGCTGCCCACAGCCTCTGCAGCACCAGTTCAGTCCCCGTTCCCCGGCCACTGGCGAGGGTCCCACATGGCGGCGAGAGTCCCACATGGCGCGCAGACCTCTTCTGCTGCTCTCACTGCTCCCCTCAGCAGTGTATTTCATTGGTCTGCCTGTTCTGATCCCTGCTCTGGCTCTGGTGAATTCTCTCACCCTCCTGTGCTTCTGACTGTATCCACTGCTTGTATAAATAATTAAATAAATAAATCTTTAAAAAAAAATAGATAAAACTTATCTACTTAAAAAAAATTTGTTGTTTCTTGCCTTTTTTTTTTTTTTTTTAAGATTTATTTATTTATGCATGTGGGTTGCTCCCTGGCTGGCGAGGGGATCAAACTCATGCTGCAGTGGCTGCAAATAGCTTCATAGGTTGCATCTTAACCCCTTGCGCCAACAGGGAGGTCCTGTTTCTTGTCTTTTGATCATAACCATTCTCATAGGTGTGAGGTGATATTTCCTGATATTTTGATTTGCACTTCCCTAATAATAAAGAGACAGTGAACACCTTTTCAGGAGCTTGTTAGCTGTCTATATATAGTCTTCTTTGGAGAAGTGTCTATTCAGATCTTGGAACCTTTTTATTTTTAATTGGGTAGTTATTTTGTTGTTGAGTTTTATAGAATTCTTTATATATTTTGGATGTTAACCCCTTTCAGATGTATGATTTATAAATGTCTTCTCCCACTCAGTTGGGTATGTTTGTACTTTGATGACTGTTTCTTTTTCTGTGCAGAAGCTTTTAAGCTTGACGTAGTCCCATTTGCTTACTTTTGTTTTTGTTTCCCTTGCTGTTGTAGTCAGGTCCTCAAACATATCTCAAAGGCCAATGTTGAGAAGCACTTTGCCTATGTTTTCTTTTATGTGTTTTATAATTTCCAATCTTACATGCAAGTCTTCAATCCATTTTGAATTCAGTTTTTGTAAATGGTATTAGGTCTAATTTTATTCTTTTTCATGTGGCTGTCCAGCTTACCCAACACCATTTATTGAACATACTTTCCTTGCTGCATTATAAGCTCTTGGTTCCTTTGTCATAAATAAATTGTCTATATTGTCTATGTTATTTCTGGGCTCTCAATTCTATTCCATTGATGTGTGTCTCTATTCTCCCTTTACCCCCACCATATCATGCTGTTTTGATTACCATTACTTTATAGTATAGTTTGAAATTATAGAACTTGATACCTTCAATATTGTTCTTTTTTTTTTTTTTTAATCCCCTCAGGAGTGGTTTTGTTATTCGGGTTTTTTTTTTTCTAGCTACATATAAATTTTGTGATTGTTTTGGTTCTACTTATGTGAAGAATGCTGATGGGATTTTGATAGAGATTGCATTGATCCTCTGTGTTGTTATAGATACTATAGCAATTTTAATGTTGTTAATTCTTCCAACCAGGATCATGTAAGAGCTTTACCTTTCCTTGTGTCTTCTATTTCTTTCAGTACTATCTAAGTTTTCAGAGCACAGGCCTTTCACTTTTTTGGTCAAATTTATTCCAAGGTATTTAATTCTTTTTGATGTGATTGTAAGTGGGATTGTTTTCCTGATTTCTCTTTTTGCTAATTTGGTATTTGCACATAGAAATGCAACAAAGTTTTTTGTTTTTTAAAGATTTTATTTTATTTATTTATACAAGCACTGGGTACAGTCAGAAGCGTGGGAGGGCAAGAGAATTCACCAGAGCCAGAGCAGGGAGCAGAGCAGGCAGAAGGACCGAAGTACACTGCTGAGGGGAGCAGTGGGCGGCAGGAGAGGTCTGAGCGCCATGTGGGACCCTCCTTCGGTGGCCGGGGAGCAGCCGGGGATCAAACTGGCACTGCAGAGGCTGCGAGCAGCTTCACAACCCAGCGCTCAACCGCTGCGCCACCGCCACCGGGGAGGCCCAGAAATGCAACAAAGTTTTATATATTAACTTTGTAACCTGCTATTTTACTGTATTCATTTGTTATTTCTGATAGCTTTTTATTGCAATCTTTGGGATTTTTCTATGGATATTATCATCTTATCACCTACAAGTAGTGTTAGTTTTGATTCCTCTTTTCCAATTTTATTTCTTTTTCTTGGCTAATTACTCTTATTAGGACTTCCAACAAAGAGTGCATCCTTGTCTTGTTCCTGATGTGAGAGACCAGATTTCAGTTTATCTTTGGGTATGACACTGACTGTAGGTTTGTCATTCATGGCCTTTATTCTGTTGTGATACATTCCTTCTATACCCATTTTTTCAATCACAAATGAATGTTGATTTTTTTTTTTTGGTTGTTTAATCTTGTCCAATGCTTTTTCTGCATCTATTGGGATGACCATAACTTTTGTCCTTTTCACTGACTTGCATATGTTGAAACATCCTTATCCTTGCATCTCTGGAGTAAATCTTATTTGATCATTATGTTTTAAGTGTATGAAGAGTGAACATTGCCCAGGGCAGATAAAGGAGTGAATCATAACATTAGCCCTATTGTTTTCATTTTGTAACTCAGACTGAGAATGAGAGAATTCAGCAAGGTTCTGAGGCTAACTACATGGTAGAGGAACAGACTGACCAACTAAACTGAGGAGAAGCTGATGAGGAGGAAGTGGGGCGACTGCAGGAGACATTAGGTTTTCACTTGCCTGCAGTTTGATTATATCATAGATAAAACCGCAGAAGCAATGCCAGATTTGGGGAGGAATTGAGGTGATTATAGGTGCAAGTGACTTAATATATAAATCACACTGAATTAGAAACAGGTCAGGAGGGAAAGAAACCAAACCTGATGTTGACACAGGTTTCTGATAGAGATCCTGAGTAAACCAAAGATAAATTAAGCTCTGAGACAATCCCATTACCTAAAAAACTGTGTTTGGTCTTCATTTAGCAACTTACTGTTTCAAATACCTGATGTTTTGAGGGAAACACTGAGCACAGCAGATGAAAGTATTTAACCCATTGATTGCCTCCCATAGTTGATCACAATATTGTTTTTCAGGGGTGAAGATATTCTTACCATCCTCACCGGAGTCAACTATGAAGTGAGCAATAAGGATGACAAAAAAAATATGGGGAAACAGATGCCACAACCTACTTTCACACTGAGGAAAAAACTCTTCTTCCCTCTTAATTGACCATATTGTTTAGTTGTCTAACACTATGCTTAATTTATTTGCTTAAGATATAGGTTGTTTGCTTTTTAATTTTTTTTTTTGCATGGTCAGAAAGGGAAAGAATGGGAATTAATATAACAATTTATATGTAAATTCAAGACCAAATTTCTGCCTTTAGGATATAATTAAAGATTTATAGCTATAGGCATGATTTTAATTGTATTTTTAATTCAGTATTAAAGTGTAAGAAAACTTATAATTGATATAAAATGTATAGTTAAAAAGAAATATAGCACAGAAAAATTTAAAAACATCTGCAGAATGTTTTTCACATATCTCTCATCTGCTTTCCACCCAGAATCATTTATTTCCCTTCAAATTGTTAAGTTTTTTTTTTAATTAAGGACGTAATTCCAAAACTTTAGCCTTGAACATAGGGTTAACGGTGGACTAGAGATTTCATAAAGCACAAGAGGGGAGAAGGAGATAAAAGCCTCCTTGAGGCTTCAGAATAAATGAATGTTGTCAAAATATTGGGAAACAGTAAATGTCAAGAAAACCTCAAACCCCCACCCTTTCCTAAAGGGCTGAGTCCTCCCTCACTCTGGGTTCCTGCAAGCATTTGCTGTAATTCCACTCTGGCTTACTGTGGGTGATTTTATAGGCCAGAATCAGAGCTACAGGGTGGTATGCAGGAAATGTCAGTGGCCCTTAATTAAAGGACACTGGTGGAGATTTTTGTGACCTGACTCCTAAAAAAACCCAATAGGTTGAGGTTCAGGGTGTAATGCACTCACGCTAAGCAATCCCAGAAACATGTGCGGTGTGCCTCCTCTCCTGAATCTGAAGATCATGCTTTTCAGCAGCAAGACTCTGTGTCTCTGTTTAGACTTAGATTTCATAAAACCTGGAGGCAATTTTCTGTGTTTTAATTATTCATAAGTCCACCATTAGGCCCACTTAATGAGATAATAACTTTTTGGTTTGTTTTCTAAATTTTTTAAAATTGAGGTAACACTGGTCTATAACATGATTTAGAGGTTAACATTATTTTTATACTTTCACCCTTCCCTTTTCAAGATGTCCTTAACACTAATGTATAGTTTGCCTTGAAAATTCAAATTGGGAGTCTAGTTTCTAAGTTAAATCTTGAAAAATTTAAAATGTTTTATAAGTTATTTAAATTGTATTTCCAAACTTCCTTTTTAGGCTTTTCTTTTGCTCTTTTATAATATTTACCTGCTTCTGTACATATAGTAAACATAATTTTATTTTTTGCTAATAATATGCTTTTTTTGTGCCTTTGTGTTTGTTCTTTATATGGTCTGTTCATTCTAAATCTTTAGGAATTAGATTATCTTTAAATGCTTTTTTCAAGATATTTTTCATAGAATAAAAACATAGTTTTACCTTACTGTTGCTTGGAGATTATTTCATTTGTTTGTTTTTATTTTCTCCCATGGCATCTCACAGGTAGAAATGTTTGGATCACAGAGGTTTTTATTTGAGCCTCCCACTGTTGCCTTCCACTGTTGAATTTTTGAAAAATTTGTTGCTAATTTTTTTTTAATTTTAATTTTTTTTTTTTAAGATTTATTTATTGATTGATTGATACAAGCACTGGGTACAGTCAGAAGCGTGGGAGGGTGAGAGAATTCACCAGAGCCAGAGCAGGGAGCAGAGCAGGCAGAAGGACCGAAGTACACTGCTGAGGGGAGCAGCGGGCAGCAGGAGAGGTCTGCGTGCCATGCGGGACCCTCCTCCGGTGGCCGGGGAGCAGCCAGGGATCGAACCGGCGCCGCAAAGGCTGCGGGCAGCTTCGCAACCCAGCGGTCAACCGCTGCGCCACCGGGGAGGCCCTGTTGCTAATTTTTAGAAATTTAAAGATGTCACATAAAAACTGGAACGTGTTTTTGAAGAACTAGAATATCGGACCGTACCGACCCCATGCTCCTGTGTGACATCTGAGGGATAGGTTCACCCCGCGCGCACCACCTGCCCCGCTCCCCTGGCTCCACTCTTCCCACGTATCCCCTGCACTGAGGCTGCTGCCAAGTCCCATTTATCATTGCTCATACTATTTTTTCCCCTTTGTCCAGCCCACTGCATATATTTATGTCACCTGCTCTACGGAGATTTGAATTCTGGTGATAGTTTAAAGAGGGTGGTAAGAATCATTAGAATTTTCTCCCAATTCATAGGTCAGGGAACATGTTTGAGATGTAGGAGAGGAGGAACACATGTAGGACAGAAGGATTTTGGCATCAAGTCAATAAATTATCTTTTTAGCTAAATGCTCAGGGAGAAAAAATTTGCACCCCCAAAATGCAATCAACATTTAATAGGGAGTTCTTCAGATTAGTGTCTTCATAATTAAATGTATATATATATTTTTTATTTTTATTTTTACTTTATTGCAATTACTTTCCCCCCCAATTCCTTATTTGGATCCCCTAAATTCCTCCTATAAGTGAAACCATCTGGTATCTTTCTTTTTCTTTCTGGCTTATTTCACTGAGCATAATCCCTTCCAGCTCCATCCATGTTTCTGCCAATGGCATGAGTTTGTCTTTTTTGATTGCTGAGTAATATCCCATTGTGTATATATATATATATATATATGCCAGGTGTATAAAGGTAGGAAATAGTACAAAGCCCAGAGAAAGCTCAGCTCCAGATGTAAAAGAAGACCACTTTTCAATGAAGTCATGAAAATCTTTATAACTGAGATGAGAATTGGACATTCCCAACTACCCAAAGCAAATTGCAGAAAGGTAAAAATAGAATTGAGGCAACCCAAGAAGTAAACTCATCATATACATTTCTAAGGAAACCTCACAGGTGGTCTCTGGGCCCACAGAGATCATGCTCCTACTGCCAACGATGGAGAACAACTTCTCTGCTCACGGTTCTTGTCTTTTCTTGCTGTCATCATTTAAAAAGTCTTCGTTAGTTTCATTAATAACAGAGGTTGATCTCCCAGATCGTTCTTGGTATATTTCTTCATTCTTGACATTTAACTTTTGTCTATATAGAAGAAGATGTATTACTATAGACTCGAAGTATAGAAAGGGGTTTAGGAAATAAAGGGAAGAGAAACATTGTTCTAGTCCTTCATCAGGGGAAGTATTACTCATTACTTGCAGAGTGTTTGAACAATGTTATTGAGAGATGCTATTTGGATGACAAAACTACCATAGGAGCATTTTTCTACTAAATCAACACAATGAATAACTTCCTTTGCTTAAAGAATTGGCCCAATTGTTTTGCAGTGTTCTAAGATGCACTTCAGGTAACCGTATAATTTCTGATCTAAAGGTGATAACCCCAGGAACCAAAGGCAATTGCATCTAACAGTATGCCTCTGATATCTAACTCCCTAACCTCTCTTGGTAGATGGACTTAAAAATAATCCTGTCACAGAACTGAATAAACACCAAGAATCTCAGCTAAATGTATAAAAACTAAGAGGTAGGAGAGGGAGAGGAGTTTAGACATTGTTCCAGTACCTCTTCAAATGGACTGTTTGACCTTTGCAGATAACTTTTGCAGCCAGGCTGAGAATGAACACTTCTCTCCTGAAACTGCCGTGCTTTGACTTTATTAGAAAACCTTGGATTCTTCTTCACCTATTCCTTACCCAAATTCCCTCCCACTTCTTAAATACAACCCAGCCACATCTTTTTGAGCAGCATCATTCACACCTTAGATAAATATTTTCTTCTGTTAGGAGCTGGATGGTGTGTTTAAACTTTTCTTCATTTTCGGCAAGCTTGGCCTGGAAAATTTTCTCCATATTGCCTACCATACTTTTCTGAAAGACAAGTCAATTTTATTTTATTTATTTATTTAATTTATTTATTTTTAAAGATTTATTTTTACTTATTTATACAAGCACTGGGTACAGTCAGAAGCGTGGGAGGGTGAGAGAATTCACCAGAGCCAGAGGGGAGAGCAGAGCAGGCAGAAGGACCGAAGTACACTGCTGAGGGGAGCAGCGGGCGGCAGGAGAGGTCTGCGCGCCATGTGGGACCCTCCTCCGGGGGCAGGGGAGCAGCCAGGGATTGAACGGGTGCTGCAGAGGCCGCGGGCAGGATCCCAACCCAGCGCTCAACCGCTGCGCCACCAGGGAGGCCCAAGACAAGTCAATTTTAATACCATCTTTCCCAAACTGAGTCATCTAAGCTACACAGAGACTTGGGTTCCTCTCCCCATTTCCATCCTCACTCCAGCCAAGGCTCACCTCTCTCTGGAGTTCCATCTGGGTGTGGTAGAGCGTAGCGTTCAGTGATTCTAGGATAAGAGATTGTGTGTGCAACTCTTCCTCCATGATCTGAGTAGGAAGAAATTGTTTCAAGAAGCCATGGTGATGTCTATGTACTTATTCTCTTCTCAAGGCACCTGGACTAGAATGTGAAGCATCAACTCCAGCTACTCCTGCTGCACTTCAGTCTCTACCCCTTGTTAATTCTCCCTCCTCTCTCTCCACCATGTATACTCTCCTCTGTAGCTTCACTGTTACTGCCCCAGTGTCAGCCCTCATGAGACCTCATGTGGGTAGTCCAATGGCTTCCAATCATTCACTCACTAAATAAGTGTTTATTAAATATCTAATACACATTCCAACTACACAACATTCCAAAAAGTGTAAAACTATAGAGATAGTAAAGAGAGCTTTGGCTGAGGTAGGTTGGAAGGGGAGCAAGGCATGAATAGGTGGAAGATAGGATTTTTAGGAGAGTAGTATGAGTAGTCTCATACTACTATGGTGGACACATAGCATGATGATTTCACAAAACCTACAGAATGTACAACATAGTGAACCCTAATGTAAACTACTGGTATTAGTTAAAAATAATGTATCAGTATTGGATCATCAATTGTAACAAATGTACCACAGTACTGCAAGATGTTAATCATGGAGGAAATGTCTTGTGTGTTAGGGGAGGGGATTTATATGCAGTATCTCTGTATTATCTTATAGTTTTTCTACAGACCTAAACCTTTAAATGCTCTAAAAATAATCTGTTAATTAGAAAAAAATACTACTGTAAGACAACAGAAATATTATGACAAATAAGACAGACATAATTCCTACTCTTATGGGGGTTAAATTCTAGTGAGAAAGATGTAAAAAGATTAAAAATAAATAACATAGTTACAATTAAAATGAAGAACAAGCAATATGTTAAAAATATATCTATAGGATGCAGTGTAAGTACCACGAGGGGCAAAATTGGGATCTATTTTAGATGAAGACTATAAAAACGAACCAGAAGATGGCAACAAAAGTAAAGAAGGAAGCTCCTGCCTCTCCAAAGTGGAAGTCAAATTGAAGGCCAAGAAAGCAGTGCTGAAAGATGTCCACAGCCACAGCCACAAAAAGAACAACAAAAAAATCTGTACCTCACCCACCTTCTGGCTTCCCAAAATATTACAACTCCAAAGGCAACCCAAATATCCTTGGAAAAGTACCCCCTGAGAAGCTTGACCACTGTGCCCTCAAGTTTCCAGTGACCACTGAATCAGCCGTGAAGAAGATGGTAGACAACAGTGCAACATGTCATTGAGGATATCAAGGCCAACAGGTGCTGGAAAAATGAAAAAGCTTACCATTTTGGTCTTTCTCAGCTCTTCTAGTTGCAAGATATCATTTTCATGCTGTTTCAGTAACTCCTAAAAATAATTTTATTTAGAAAAGGTCAGTACTTTCTGGTACTTTTTCGAAGAATTAAGAAAGTCAGAATAAGATTCTAGAATATAATATAAACCAAAGTTCAGACATGGTTATAATAAAGCCCACATATAAACTAATGATGTGACATGTTGAAGTCAAACATTGAAAATCTTATATTCAATCTTACCACATTCAAAAATATTAAAAGGAAATTAGAGTTCATCGAAGGATTTTCTGATTAGTACACAGTTTTAATACTGTCAAATATTCAATTTTCCACAGATTAATCTTTATATCCAATGGCATCCAGTCAAAATAGGCAGTCTTTTTAGAGAAGCTAATCCTCAAATTTATATCAAAATGCAAAGGATATAGAAGAGCCAAAATAATCTTAAAAAATAAGAATTGGCAGAATTTGGTCTGAGACCTGCTTTCCTTATAACTTGGTGGGGGTGGGGGTGACTAACAGAAGTGCTAGCCCTCACCTGCCTCTACCTTTTAGATAACTACTCTTATTTTCTTTCTTTCTTTCTTTTAAGATTTATTTATTTATTTATTTATTTATTTATTTATTTATTTATTTATTTATACAAGCACTGGGTACGGTCAGAAGCGTGGGAGGGTGAGAGAATTCACCAGAGCCAGAGCAGGGAGCAGAACAGACAGACTGATGAAATACACTGCTGAGGGGAGCAGCAGGCAGCAGGGGAGGTCTGTGCACCATGTGGAACCCTCACCTGGTGTCCGGGGATTGAACCAGCGCTGCAGAGGCTGCAGAAGCCCAACCGCTGCACCACCGGGGAGGCCCAACTACTTTTATTTTTTTAAGATTCTATGTGACCAGATTAGCTTTGTTTAGTTAGTAACTACACTCTTTCTTTAAAGATGAGGGGAACACTCAGAGACTTAAGAGTTTGACAAAATAAGGAATATCAGTTTTTTTAAATGTTTAAAGTATTATTTTCTGCTAATTTCAATAATTGTGGTAAGATGGTTCAGATAAAGGACAAGACTGTCAGTCTGCTTGCATCTATCTCTGGGATAGCTGTGAAAGGAGGAATAAACCCCAAAAGACAAAAAGCTTGACTAATTTCAGAGTCACATCTGAGAACTGGATGTCTCACTGGACTCTACTTTCACCACTGATGTGTTTTGGGCGGAGTTACCTCCTTCTCTCGATTGAAGCTTTCAAACATCAAAATGTAGGAGTCATTTATTTTCTTCTTTTCTTCTTGTGACTGTAACTCAAACTTTTTTGTCATCCTGTGTTCTGTGGAGGTGAGAGGAAATCACAGATATGTTTAAATGTGGGAAAACCAGATGCAGGAAGGAACTTCAATATCTAAAGATAATAGAAATTCCAGATGGGGTCAAAATCAAGTTCCCTTGAGCCGGGAGTTCAGCATCTGACACGCACCTGCAGATGCTTAAGAATGCGGTGAACTTAGTGGTACTTCTCAATATTATCTGTCATAATAGGGCTTACCGCTCTAATGTCTTGTAGGGTAAGGTAAAAGGTGTCAGGCTTTTCTGCCCTCCCGCCATTCGGAGAGATGAGGGAACCCTGCGGTCCTGAATGCATGCCTGATGGGGGGCACCTGGAGTAGGGTGTGGACATAGTAGATGGGATTCACCTGGGCTAAGACTGGGCTTTTAAGGGCGGCGTCATGGAGATGCCAGCAGAAGCCGAGAGAAGAAGAGAAGCAGGAAAAGGCCAGAGAGCCCAGATAGAGTGAGGATTTGCTGGGGGCTGGGAGGCCTGCCAGCCTCCCGGCTCCCCAGCACCCCTGCCTGCCATATGCCTGGTAAATCTAAATAAAGGACCTGCAAAACCACTGAGGACTCTGACTCCTCCTTCACCCGGTCTGCTGGATCAGAAAACCTGCCCTGTGTCCTTCCTGCCCCTACATGTCTCTTGTTCTTTTTTTTGTGTATAGTTTATTTTGGATCTGTTGCTTATTATTTTGTCCATGCCTTCTGCTAAAATAACCACTCTGCCTTTTTTTTTGGATAGCCTTATCTTAAAATATAGTTCTGACCTAATGAGACTTTTGCAGAAATGAAATTCATTGTGTCCCTAGTCCTGGAGCACAGGTATGCTTGCACTGTGCTTGGGGGTTGGGACGGACAGGGGAGTCTGCCAGCAAAGCTCCAACACTAAGTAAGAGGAAGGAGGGGTCAGAAGCTAATGCTATTTTCTTCTTTAGAATCATGGTGCTGGAGGTGGGTGGAGAGGCAACCTCCACTCACAGTATAGTCTGGACTGAGCTCCACTATGAGCAGCTAAAGTCTGTTTTGCCATCATCCCAGGCTGGGTGGGTTCACTGTCGGTTCGGACAGCTTAAACAAGAACTTGGAGCCCTTCGCATCATCCCCGCAGGTTTTTTAATGGTACATAGGGGAAACGAACCAGCAGGGGACAGCAACTTGGGCCACCTGTGAATGTCTATACACTCTTTCCTCTGGGCTCTCTCTAGCCTTGTCTTGTGCCCACCTCTCTGTAGTCACTTGTCCTCATAGCTGTTCTGCTTTGGCCATCCCTGTCTGAGTGATGCTGCCTTATAACCCCAGCCTCCCCGCTCAGGTGTGCCCACTTACGCATGCCCACACCAGACCCCAGGTGTCCCGCAGCCAGGCTCCCAAGCACCTCCTGCATTCAAGGCTGCAGGTGATAGCCACAGAGGCAAATGGCATAAAAGCCTGACCATCTATATCTACCCTACAGTCAGCTTTCCAGAACTGATGGTGACATCCACACTTAGATTATGACACTGGGGACAGGTGAAGCATGGGCAGGTGGCAGACTGGGAGCTGTCCTGGGAATGGCAGGATTGCAAGTAAAGCCTCCAACAACTGCAGCCCCACATTCCTCACGGGGTGGGAATGGCTTTAGGCTTAACTTTTCCAGGGACTGTCTGCATTTAAATGAGTAATTTGTTAAAATCAACTCAATCTGATCTTAATTGGGTTGGGGTAAGGTATGAAATAGGTTTGTAGCGGCTCCATTCCTTCCTTACCTAGCCCTGTAGGTCCTCAAACTCCTTTTTCCTGTTTTCATTTATGAAGACACTCAGGGGGGACAGGAGGCTCATCTACAGAGCAATTTGTGTGATCCAAACTCTGTGCTAAGTGTTAGAAATATGAAAAATATATAGTAATACATAATTGTATCAATTTGCATTTTGTGCTCTTATAAACGCACACGATGCCGTCTGCCAACTGTATATCAGTTATAATAGGGGTCCTCAGAGGAGGTGTAGAATAGAGAGGGGCTCAGTGTAATGGATGCTGTTGCCACACCCCCAACAACAGAATATTTGAAGCTCCAATTCGAGGACTTTTTTCTGGAACTCTGGAGTCACTTATGTTGAGATAACAAGTCTACATGCCTACAAATATCCAAAGCTTGTTTCAGCTCGTGATGGCACAACTTGGAACCAATGAGTTTTGGAAGGTACAGGCTGAAACACTTAGGTGGCCATTTTCATAATAGACTCCATCCTGTCCAACTTGCTTTCTTGAGAATGCCAGGCACCTTCCATTCCAGAGCCCACCAGGCAGCGCAGCACCCTTCCCAGGCTGCCTTCTTGGTGTTGAGACCAAGCACAACAGTGTTGGCAGTGTCTCAGTGTAGCTTCATTAAAAAGTCAGATGTTTCTGTACTCACTTAGCTGCAGCAAGATCTTCTCACGCTCCAGCTTCTCGTCCTTCTCCCATTCTGCTTTCTTCTTTGACCACTTATCTTCCATTTCATCGTAAATGCTGTCCTAAGGAGGCACAAAGGCACAGTGAAGAAAAGGACCCTGAATCACGGTGGCTGCAGAGGCTGTAAACTCCCTCCTGCGAGGGTCTCTCCCAGCACGGCACCCAACGCTTTGCAGCTTCCCTCACTGGGGATACCTTAGTGACAGGTGGGTGGGTGACAGGTGGGAAGAAATTTCCCACCCACTGGGAACCTGTTGGACCCTGAAAATCAAAGGAAACTCTGCATGAGGTTTGCCTTACTAGAACTGGGCTTCCTTTAAAGACAGGCAGGTTCCCCAAGTTGAAGATTCACATTCAGCTCCCTCTAAATCATGAGTCACTCACCAGTAGAGATGAGGGGAATGCCTGGTAGTTCACTTGAATACTTAGAACATAATTGGATGTTGTTCAGTGTCTATTTTTTCCTCAGCAAATCTAACTTCCTTTGCAATCGAGGTTACATAGGCAATATCACACAGATGCTGTAGGGTAAAGAAAATATCAGGCTTTTCTGCCCTTCCGCCATCAGGATAGATGATGGATCCTTGTCCTGAATGCATGCCTGATGGCGGGCACCTGGAATAGGGTGTGGGCATAGGTAGATGGGATTCAGCTGAGTTAAGACTGTGCTTTTAAGGGCGGCGTCATGGGGACGCCAGCAGCACCAGTAGCAGCAGTAGAAGCCGAAGCAGAAGCTGAAAGAGAAGCCGAGAAGCAGCAGAACAAACGCTAGAGAGCCCAGATAGAGTGAAGACTTGCTAGCACCCCTGCCTGCCATATTCCTGGTGAACCCCAAATAAAAAACCTGCAAAACTACTGAGGACTCTGGCTCCTCCTTTACCCGGTCTGCATGGGATCAGAAAACCTGCACTGTGGCCAGTCCTGGCCACTACAATTGGCGTAGTTGGCAGGATCCATGTAGACGGGTATTGGAGCCCTCCAAAGACCTGGAGGGACTAAGGAGAACAGACTGTTTGCCTGTGATGACGCTGGAGGTGCCATGGCAGCACAGAAGGTGGATACGGTCCGGAGCTGTGGGACGAGACCTCGCATGGAGGAGACGCCCGAGAGGACTAGGCAATGACACCGGAAAGGACCAGCCAACGACACCAGAAAGGACCAGCCAATGACCCCTGAGGCAGCAGGCCGCTGCTGACGCAGGGAGAGGCCAATGGACATGGACTGATAAACTTGGACTGACAATCCCGCCAGAAGGCGGAGGACCTTGGCAGGTTATGTTTTTTTTTTGAGAATCTGGGGGTGGCCAGTGGGCCTTGATGGCCAAAAGCAGCCTGTGCATGCCTAGCAGCCAGGTGGAGGAGAAAAGCCAACTGAGAAGGCAAAAGCTTGTACTGATGCTAAGTTGAGAAGCCCTGAGTGGCTGTTAAGCAGCCTGAGTATGCTGAAGCCCTGTGAGTCTCGTAAAATCACCTGTGGGTGATGCCCTGCTCATTGTTGAGTGAGGGTGAGGAGCTGAGGAACCTGTCCTTGGGGGACGGGTGGGGAACGTGGCTTGGGGTGGAGCCCAAGCCACATGTAGAGTTTTGATCCCCAACCCATGTGCTTGTGCAGTGGGTTGGCTTGAGTGCAGGGGTCTGCGAGTCGCATGGATGGCTATGAAGGCCGAGTGTTGGAGCGACTGCAGACAGAAACCCTGAGGGCTGGCGATTACCCCCAACAGAATAAAATTGCCAATCCCAGAGCTAGTGCATCCTGGGGGTGGATGCTGTGTGTGGCTTGTAGCCGAGACTACAGCCAGAGAAGGCCAGGAAGCCTGACGGCTCCTGGTATGTTATAGCAGATGCCGTGTGTGATTTCCCCTCCCTCGCATGAGCAGTGCCTTCGGCAGCAGATTTGGTGGCTCATCTGCTGGTACCAATAATTGTCTTTTGCACTAGGTTGGTGCCCTGCCTGGACTTATTTGTGTTCTGTTGTATTTTGTTCTGATGTATTTGCTTTTGTGGGCCATGGCTGCATTGTTTGTTTGATAAAAAAATTGTATATATGTATAGACTGTATGGCAGAAAACCCTGAGGGGGTGGACTGTAGGGTAAAGAAAATATCAGGCTTTTCTGCCCTTCCGCCATCAGGATAGATGATGGATCCTTGTCCTGAATGCATGCCTGATGGCGGGCACCTGGAATAGGGTGTGGGCATAGGTAGATGGGATTCAGCTGAGTTAAGACTGTGCTTTTAAGGGCGGCATCATGGGGACGCCAGCAGCACCAGTAGCAGCAGTAGAAGCCGAAGCAGAAGCTGAAAGAGAAGCCGAGAAGCAGCAGAACGAACTCTAGAGAGCCCAGATAGAGTGAAGACTTGCTGGGGGCTGGGAGGCCTGCCAGCCTCCCAGCCCCCCAGCCAGCACCCCTGCCTGCCATATGCCTGGTGAACCCATATAAAAAACCTGCAAAACTACTGAGGACTCTGGCTCCTCCTTTACCCGGTCTGCATGGGATCAGAAAACCTGCACTGTGGCCAGTCCTGGCCACTACAGATGCCAATGCTGTTGTCTGACTCAGCCTTCATGGTGATGCGACACAGGAGAAGGCAGGCCCCGGTGGATCCTGACCCCCTTCCTGACTTCCCTTCAGTTAGCAGATTTTACACTGCACCCGGGCCTGGGAGCTTATTTATAGTTGTTTGTGGGCATCTGACAGAGGTTCTCTGTCATCATTTTCAAGACTGTTGGGCAGCTCAGTTTCCAGAGAAGTGAAACTCTCTGGAGAGATGCTCCAAAGAATTTGAAACAAAGACTGAAACAAACACAAGCACACTAGGAAGCTGAGGCAACTTCCAGCTCATCAGCCTGACATGCCTCTTAGGTGCTGACATTTCCTTGACTGCATCAAGACACATCTTGAGTTTGGGATATAAAATCAAACTTAAAAGTGAGTGATAAATAGAATTTTGAGATGGTGCTGGTGCATAACTAAGTTTCTTCCTTTGATAGGGTCATCAGCTGTCCTTATGTTTGCCTGGGCTGCACTGTCTCCCAGGACTCCTGACTTTCAGTGCTAAACCTGCAAAGTCCGGGGTAAGCAGAACTAGTGGGTCATCAGAAGAGAGGGACTTGATACTTCAATCCTTCACCTGTCTTCCCCTTTTCTCCTATTTTCATCCTCCGAGGAAGAAATCATGCCCTAACTCTGTTTTCCGAGTCTCCATCAAATCAGTGGATTAAATGAAAGGGTTACATTCTGAGATTGTTAGGGAGCCTGCAGGCACTCCGAGTGCAGGTGATACAGACTTTTTGGATGGCAATTTGGTCAAATGTGTTAGAGGTATTTAAATTCTTATTCCCTTTAACCCAACACTACTAAAATCAAAGATGTTACCAAGGGAAATATTAACAGTAGCTGTCTTAGGTGTTGATAGTTCTTTCTTTTTGTTATTGCTCTTGTTGGTTTTGAATTTTCTTTTTTTTGGGTATTGTATCTCCATTTAAAGAAATGAGGAGGTGTTACTTTTGTAATGATACACATATTTTTCAATGAACTGCTTTAGGATTGGGTGGCTGACTGGTCATGGGGCCTGTCACAGACTGTGGGGTCACTCCTCTTTGGATGTAGTTAGTGCTTTGTAGGTCTAAGGATGCTGAGTGTTTCTAACAAGAGCTTTAAATTCTCCCCAATGTCATCAGCAGGGGTGTTTCTTGCTTCTCTTACTCTCATAATTCACCAACTTGTCCTGAATCTCACCTGATACATATGAAACATATTCTTCAAGTACTTGTAGTCCTTTGCCATCTCCTCTGGACAAAAGGAAAACAACAGAGTTGTTATTATTTCTCTGAAATGCACATTTTCAAATTCAAATGTGAGCACCTCCTGCATGCCTTCCCCTTAGGTGGTGAAATGGCAAGGCTGTGGTGTGCCTCAGAAATCACACTGGGAGCCTATTAGAGAGTCAGATGCCTGGACCCCACCCAAGACCTAAAGAATTGAGATCTCAGAGAAGGGGCCTATATTTGTTGATAAAATGCTTCTGAGGCAATTCTGTTGCAATTCTCAAACCCAAGTTCTAGAATTAATTCCTGCGATAAACCTACATCTATTGGAAAAAGAGCAAAACCTTCTAATTTGCATTTGCTTCTCTCTTACAAATAATATTTCCAAGTACATAACATTAATACATGTTCTCTTTAGAAAACTGGAAAATTAGCAAGGCATAAATAATCATCTTTTAAAAATGTAATGTGAAACAAAAGGAGAAAGTTGTAGAATTTTTCCTCCCTGTGAAGATTAACTGTTAAGTCTACAAACTGGGTCTTCCTAAGGGTAGACAAAAGGCTAAAGGACGAGTATTGCAACTTAGTTGCAGGCCTTTCCATCTTCTGGGCATAGGAAGGGCATTAATGCACATGGTATGGCTCCTTTTAGTTTCATCCTTAATCACTTCCTCTTCCCGAGTTTTAGGAGGAAACACTGAAAGCCTAGCCACAGCCTATCCATGGCCACGGGAGTTCCCAGGCCCTAGACCTACCCGTCAGCCTCTCCCCTTTGCCCAGGGTCATTCTCCCAGGTCCCAAGTATACCTAGTTTTTCTTGGGCAGTCAACTTCTCCTCGCTCAAGGCTGCTTTGTATTTCTCCTCCAGTTCACTGAGCTCTGCTGCATGAGCCTCTTTGAGCTCCCTGCGAGGCCCGGCAGAAGGCAACAGTCATCGATGAAGTCTGGGGCTGAGCTGTCATATTCACCTTGTCCTTCTCCTCTCACACAGAAGGCCAGTGGGCAACCTCCAGGGTCAACACCTCATGATGCTTTCTCAAGGCATCTCCCAGGGAAGGGTGAGGGTCCTTGCTTCCACCAATCACTATTCTGAATGGAGTTGGTAAGGGCCACAGGTTCATCAGAACAGTCTTCCTACTGGCACTTTTGGGAAACTGTGGACTGTATTATCACCCAAGATAATTTTAGAACCTAAGGTCACTTCAGACTCCCATTTCATGTTCCAGATGAGTGTTAAAATGAAGGCTATGTGATTTGTCTGGTCAAGAAAAGCTTTGGAGAAACCTAAAGTGCGTAGTAGTGAACAAGTCAGTATGAAAAGACTACATGCTGGAGGAGTCTAATCAGCGCTTGTCAGGCACTAAGGGGGAGAGAAAGAATAGGCAGAGTATGGAGGATTTTTATGGCAGTTAAACTATTCTATAGGATACTATAATGGTGGATACATTTGTCAAAACCCACAGAATATACAACACCAAGAGTGAACCCTAATGTGAACGATGGACTTTGGGTGATAATGGCGTGTGAGTGTGGGTTCATCAGATGCACCATGGAGCTGCCAGGTGTCAATAATGGCATAGGTTGTGTGGGTGTGGGGTCAAGAGTTTAGGGAAATTCTCAGTACTTTACGCTCTCTTTTACTGTGAATCCAAAACTGCTCCTAAAAATAGTCAGTTATAAGTAAATGAATAAATAAATAAATAAATAAAATAAGTATTTTAAGTTTCTTTTTTTAAAGCATGTCTATGACTCAACGAGGAGGACTATCAACGCACCAGGACATCTGAGGCTGCCCTGTGCTCATGCAGGAGCATGGAAGGTGACGTTGAGCTTTTGTTCTCACACACACAAACCTCCTCCTTTTACTTCCTCTTGGCTTGTGTTGGTTCCTGCTCCACCCCCACCTTCTTCCTGTCCTAGCAGCCGGGGAGAGCAGAGGCGAGGGGAGAAGAGCAGGAAGTATGTTCACAGCCCAGGCTTTTCCTCCTCCTCTTACCCGCCCCCCTCAATTTCTATTTACCACAGAAATCTCATAGATAATCAAAAATTTCTTCTTCTCAGGAATTAGTTAGAAAGGGAGATCATAACTGAAATGAAGTAATTAGATGAGAAAGTACAAAACTAAGAAGAACCTCCTTTGGTCTCAAACAAAGTCATTTTGCTCTTCAAAGCCATGTGCTCACCCCCCTCCTCTCTTCCCTTACCCCCCCCCCCCACCTTGCCATCCAACGCCACTGGACGCTGTCTGCAGGCTCAGTGAACTGAACTGCCAGGGGGAAGGAGGCGTAGGTCCTCCAGCACGCACCGCTCTGTGTCAGAAGCATACCTGTTCTTGTTTTCAAAGTTCTGCTGCATCTCAGCAGAGCGGAGATCCATCTCATTGGCGAGCTGGAAGAGAGGCTGGCATTAACCACGCGGGATGGAGGACCCCACTCCCACCTGCAATGTTTAATTAAGCAGCTTTACACTCACGGGGGTGGGGTTTCCCCAATCCCCATTCCACCTCATCTGTGCTCTGCGGCGCGGGGCACATCCCTACTGGGGGCACAGAACAAAGCTTGTGTGGCTCTGCGTCTTCTGTACATAACTGGTTCATGGTGTCAGTGAGTGGAAGCTTCTCTACTGTTTTTGTGGGTGTGTCTGACCTCTGAGAGAATCTCTTAGTGAGATTGTAGCCAGGGGATTTTCAAATATGTAATTCAATTGAGCAACTTTTATTGAGGTTTGGCCTGGAAAAGTCAGAAGTCGGACTCAGACTCTGCCTTCAGTGAACTTAATATCCAGTGGCATCGCTTTCCCACCTTGCAAGTTGGCGGCTGAAAAAGCTGGCAAGAAACCCTGAGCCAAGAAAGCTGATGCTGGCGGCAAGGTTAAGGAGGCCAAGGCCAACACCCCACTGCAGTCAAAACCCGGTCCTAGGGAGAGGAATTGGCAGATATTCCTGGTCTCTGTTCTAGAAAGGCCATGTACAAGAGCAGGTATTCAGCAGCTAAATCCAGGATTGAAGGAAAAAAAAAAAAAGATTCTGTCTAGAGTCACAAAAACAGTTGGTGGAGATGAGGATGGTGGTACCTGAGTGGTCAAACTTCACTAAATGCCTACGTATTATCCTACTCAGGCTGTGCCTCGATAGCGGTTAAGCCACAGCAAACCCCCTTCAGCCAGCAAGTGAGAAAACTGCGAGCCAGCATCACCCCTGGGGCCACGCTGACCATCCTCACAAGGCGCCCCCGAGGCAGGAGGGTGGTTCTCCTGAAGCAGGTGGGAGCTGGCTTGCTGCTTGGGCCTGGACCGCTCTCTCTCAATGGAATTCCTCTGTGTAGGACACACCAGAAATGTGTCGTCGCCACCGCCAGCAAAATTGATATGGTTTGAAGACCCTCGAACATCTCACTGCTGCTGACTTCAACAAGAAGAGCTGCATGGGCGCCGCCCCCAGGACGGAGAGATCTTCAATCCAGAGAAGGAGAAATACGCCCTGGCAGAGCAGCACAAGGCTGATCGGGAAGCTGTGGACTTGCAGATTCTGGCAAAAATCAAAGCTGTTCCTCAGCTCCAGGGCTACCTTGATCTGTGCTTGCGCTCACCTGTGAAATTTGCCCTCTTGAATTGGTGTCCTAAATTTCCTACAAAGAATCTAATTAAATAATGATCACTTGCAAAAAATAAAAGAAATGCAGTGTTAATAAGTCCTCACTGACAAAAAGGCCAGGAATTTCAGGTGACCCTCTATTCTGACCTCTGGTCAGCGTCTCAGAAGGAATGGATACTTCCAAGCCAGTCAGCGCCCACTGCCAGCTAAGATGAGGGTTCAGGGCTGGTCCTTGCCCTCTCTGGCTACCGGGGGCAGTCACCACTCTTTCTTCCTAAGGGTCACACTGCAGTTTTGAAGTTCACAGGTGAACGATTCATAATCTCAAGTCCCTCCATGGAAATTATCTCTAAATATGTCTTCAGCAGGGTCAATGCTTCAGTGAGTGAAATGCACATTTTGCCCAGTCACCCAACACCGAGGAGATGAATGACATTATGCAAATTATTTAACTTCCTGGGCCTCAATTTTTTTTTTTTTAATAGAAGTAGACTGTAAACCTGGCAAGGATTTTCAGATAAATAAAATAATGACTCAATAACCTGAACCATGGCTGAATCACTGTAGGATTCAGAAGCATCTGGATCATATCAGAGGGTGAGGGGTGGGCCAGGTGGGAAATGAACCTTTACAAGTGGATTTAATTACAACAGGCAAGTGTGTGTGTGGGATATTTCTGAGCATCACTCTGGCTCGTCATTCCAGCCACCAGGCACACCTGCTTCGGGAAGGGAAGAGGAGACCTGATTCAACAGATGGTGAAGTCTAGAGGAAGTGTTACCAAAATCCCCAGGAACCACAAAGAGTGCAAATTAACATCAGTAGCATCTACAGTGTGGGTTTTAACAGTTTCAATAGCAACAGGATGTGGGCACCTTCTGAGCAACACTAGAAGTGCTAGCCCCCCATATTAGTGCCATAAACAAGAGTCTCAGCAACCTTGAAATTTAACTCCACATGAAGGCCACAGTAGACCTGTTCAGTAGGACACAGAAGGGAGGTGGTTGGCGCCCACTAGTGTAGAGAGGACTGTGCCACTGAACATTTGGGAGGCACTTGGAGAATTCCCAGAAACTGAGTTAGGCCTTGAGGAGGGACTTGAGTTCTTGCAATGATAGATGTGGTCTGAGTCAGAAAAATACTTCTGCATTCTCCATTCTTCTCTTCAGAATGGAGGTCTGCACAACGTGGTTCCCATGAGAGAAGCGTTTGGCATTGGCCTGGCACATAGCAGGTGATCTGCAAATGTTGGCCTTACGCCTACCCATACAGCTGTTAGTTAACTCCAGGATCACTCACCAGTTTTTGGGCAGCCTGGTGGTCTCTGTTCATCTGCTCTATTATCACTGTCAGCTCTGAGATCTGCTCCTCGAGGTCAGCGATGATATCAGTCCTACGGGGCAAGTAATGCCTCTGTCATCCACAGACCCCTCCCCGGGGTTGGCTGGCTCTGGCCTAGTGAGAACCAGGTCATGTCTGCACCTGATCCATCATGATGGGGTGAAGTGTAGGGGCAGAAATGTGGTCTGGGAGAAAGAATCTGGCAGTAGATTGAGCCTCAGACATGCACTTTTGGGTAAGCTAATGGGAAGTGAGCAGGGATAATTTGGTGCTGTACTGACTAGAAGGAGAAGAATATATTAGAAATCTACTAAGGCTGAACCTTGATTCAGTAATGCTCATTGAAATGGAGGAGAGAGAAGTTCAGAAGATTAGGCGACGAGAAAGTGGTGAATAGCATTGTTGCTGACAGTGAATCATAGACAACGATGGGCCACAAATCAGATGAAGGGGAAATTTAAGAGAGCGGCTTTCAGACTAGATCATGGTTTTCTGAACTCCTGGGTCTGGGGGGCCATGATGTCTGTAAGATTAGTCAGGGCTGTTTGGTTGAGCTGGAGTAGGCAGGGTGGCAGGTAGTGCTATATGTGGCGCAGCAGAGAGGAGGGCCCTGATGCCAAGGGGGTGAGAAAACAGAGGGGATAAAGGAGGAGAGGCATAAGGCATGAGAAAGAAGAAAGGGGATGGAGAAGCTGAAATGGGGGCGTTCCCATTGTTTGAACATGATCATCAACATAAACAATACTCACAGGGCCTCCCTGGTGGCGCAAAGGGTTAAGCACCACACTATGAAGCAATGCGCAGCCTTCCCGGCTGGCCAGGGGGAAACCCACATGGCGCAGCAGACCTTTCCTGACTCACCCACTGCTTTCGTCAGCAGTGCACATCGGTCAGTCTGCCTGTTCTGCTCCTCACTCTGTCTCTGGTGGATCCTCTCACACCCCCGCATCTCTGGCCAGTACCCCAGCTCTTGTGTGCATAAATAAATAAATCTTAAAAAAAAAACCCCATAGGGCCTCCCCGGTGGCGCAGCGGTTGAGCACTGGGTTGCGAGGCTGCCTGCAGCCTCTGCAGCGCTGGTTCGATCCCCGGCTGCTCCCCGGCCACCGGAGGAGGGTCCCACATGGCGCGCAGACCTCTCCTGCCGCCCGCTGCTCCCCTCAGCAGTGTACTTCGGTCCTTCTGCCTGCTCTGCTCCCCGCTCTGGCTCTGGTGGGTTCTCTCACCCTCCTGTGCTTCTGACTGTGCCCAGTGCTTGTATAAATAAATAAATAAATAAATCCTAAAAAAAAAAAAAACAACAAAAGAAAAAAATTAAAAAACCCATACTCACAGCTTTGCTGGGGAATAAGACAAGGACAGGGCATCATATTTTATTAGTGACAGGCTTTCTTAGGAGGTCAGGAGGTGGTAGTGGGGGCTGGCCTGACAGTGGGTGCAGGCTCATTCTCTTCCTGCAGGGGGCAGTCGCTGCACAGGGAATGAATTTTCCTACTGGAAGGGAAGACAGGGACACAGACTGGTTTCTCTGGGCCAGGTCAGATCAGGGCCCAAACGGCCTCACTCAGCATGGGTTTTGCGTGTCCCTCAGCCTCATTCCCAAACTAAATCCCTCCCCTAGCGAAACCACTGCTAAAAGTTGGGTTGTCTCCTTTCTATACACCGGCAATAAGAAGGTGGTTTTCTCTGTGTGTTTTCTGTTGTTGTTGGTCTTTTAGATTTCTGTCTTGGGAAAATAATTTTCACAACAAGCTAAACAAAGCTAGGGAGGAGACATTCACTGTGGAACCATCTCAAGGTGCAGATGGAAAAAACAGGCAAGGAAGGGGAGGTATGCAGGAGACATAAGCAGATATGATGAAAAGAATGTGGGTTCTCACTTCACATGGCACTGGTATAGATCCTGAGAGTGGGTGAGGCTCGAATGGCTGAGGATGGCAGTGTGCTTTGCTGGGATGGGGCAGCCAGAGCCTTCCACACTGCATCTCCCAGAAGCATGTATGGAATGGTATCTTTGGACATAACGAAAAAAGCGATGCATACTCAGGTCTTCCAGAGACTCTGAATTTACTCTTAGTTCTCACCTTCCAAATTCTGGCTCTTTTATCAACATTTCATCTGTTTGTTACCTGCAGGAACAATTGCTCTCCTTAAGTACGAATAATACTACTATCCCCAATCATCTTCCAGATCAGCTGCCTGACCTGTCCTCCATCCTGACTTGAACGGGACAGAGCTGAGAGTTGGGTGTTGACAGGAGCAAGTGAGGGGCTGGAGAGTGAGGTGATCTTGCAGCCCCTTCAGAGCAGAAACCCTTAAGTCTGGGTGTGGAAATTAGGGGCCTGTCTTTAGGGCCAAACCAAGCCAGGTGGGGTAGCTCTGAAGAGCAAAATGTCAGTCCAAAGACTTTACCTGGACATCTTCATTTTGTTCATGATGTCTGATTCCAACCGCTTTTTCCTAGCAGACATCTTTTCCCCCAAGGTGATGGAAATCCGCTCCTTGTTCCGAAGGAGGCCATAGCTGGGGGACACGTGGATCACTTCCTGGCCCTGTACCTGGGCCTCAAGGTGGAAGGTAAAATAGTCTTTCAGATGGTGTGCTGACCCTCTGCCCTCCTTACATCTCCACAGCAGAGATGTGAGATGGGGTGCCAAGGCCCAAGACTTTTCTGTCTTCTCCAGTCACCACTGACCCTCATATCTCCAGATTTCTCTCCTGAGATCCAACTGCAAGACTCAAATGGCTTCTGTATGTCCCCTCTCAAGGTCAACGTGAACAAAATGTAACTACTGACCCCCTCTCCTCACTCTGCCACAGCCCTGCTCTGCTTCTCAGTCTCCATCACCGCCAGAGGCCGGAGGATGCCAGGCATGAGGCAAATTGCTCAGGTCTTGAACTTGGGCCTGAGTTTAAATCCTGGTTCTGCCAACAGGATTTGCACCCCAATTTCCTCATCTGCACCCCAATTTCCTCATCAGAAAATAATGATACAACTTTTCCTTGAGGGCTTTACGAGAAAAAACCAAAATAGCGTATGAGTAAATGCTTAGCAAATTGCAAGAAAAAAAAAATTTCAGTCAGTTCCTCTTCTGTCCCCTCACTAAAGGTCAAGTCAGATCTGGCAGGGCCAGTGGCCATTGTGCAGCAGGATGAGACTGCAGCTTCTGGAACTGTGCAGGACACCCTGAAGCACCCGGGCCTGTCACTGTGATCTCTAATGGGTCTCATCTCCTCTCCAGACCCCTGCCCCTGACTTAGGCCAAGGCCACTGTCATCTTTCTCTTTGGCCCTGGTGATCCATTCCCAACTGCGGCAGGCTGTACCTCCCATGCTGTCTCTTGACATGGTCCAAGCATTGGGGGAGACTCCCAAGAAGAGGGGAGTTCCTGTGCTCCCCAGAAGAGGGAAAGTTGTACTTCCCAGAAGAGGGGAGTTCTTGCACTTCCCAAGAAGATCTGAACTAGGGGGTCCCCATGGCAAAGCCTGCTAATGCTCTCCTCTTTGTTCTTGGTTAATGATGAAGTAAGTTAGTTATTAATTGGCATGTGAAAACCCAATTCGGACCTAGACATTAATTGATTTACTATTCTTACACTTGAATCAGTATCAAAGAAAGTACAAAATGCTAAAGGTATAGCTATGAAAGAAATGTTCCGGCCCTGAGAACTATGGAGAACAAGCTGCCCTGAACCAGCTGTGCTTGGAAGCCATAGCCTAACACAGTGGGTGCATGTTTGCACCAGCAGTACATTTCCTGGTGTTTGCAAGAGGTCAATAGTTCGCAGGCCATGTGGAGGTTAGGAATTTCTAGTTAAGAGTTAGACTTCAGTAGAACTAACGTAGATTTGATGAGTTGTTTTAGGCCATTTTGACTTAATTGATAAATTAGCCAATTAATTGAGTGCTAAGGAGATAGGTTGATTTTAGTAATAGAATATAGAATAGGAATTTTACCCCCACTCTGAAACTGGGAAAGTTTAATAGAATGCTTAATTGTTGCCAAATTAAATGAGCTGTACCTAGGAAACTAATTGTTCTTAAGGTTACCAGAGAAATGCCCTTTAGGTGTGAGACCAAGGGAGTCTTTACATGTTCATGAGAAAATATGTATTGATTGTCTCTATTCTGCCTCAACGCTTACACTGATGTAATCCCACCGCTCGCCTTAAGGTATAAATAAAGACCCGCTGAGACCCTCAGCAGGAGATACATGCACAAAAGAAGGTGTCTGTGTCTGCCTCACTCCTACCTCGCTCCACTTCCTCTCAGCCCTCCGAAAAATCTTCACCGACGCCGTCCTCTCCTTTCTGAGCTCCCTGACACGACTTCTAGCTGGAGCTGGTCTCCAGCACCCAACCGGCCTCTCTGCCTTCAGTCTGGATCTCCCTAAGCTCGTCATCCTCTTTGCTCGGGACATTCAATTGTTTTCCTTGACCATTAAGAGACTGCATGATCCTTGATTAAGAGCCAGGGGAGGAAAAAAATAAGAGCCCCAAAAATATCCTACCGGGGGATGCTTTTTCTGAAATATAACTCTTACCTGGCTGGGTGACTGTGTCAGACACCAGAAGGACTAGGCCCAAACTCCTTCTGCGCTTGGCCCCCAGTTCTTTCTCTAAATCCCTCCAGCCCCTGCTCCTCTCATTGCCCCCCCCCCCAGCAGTGGTGCATTTGGAGTGAACACATGGTTTCCTGCATCGGGGCAGGAGCTGTACCCAGGCCTAGACTTGTGTCACTGCCCAGCATCTCCGTGACACTCGGCAGAGTGGGAATTAAGACTGCAGAGTGGGAATTAAATGTCTTCTCTGGGCTCTGCCTGAAGCAAGTTCAAGACGTGGCTCTGCAGCTTATCAGCCACATATTATATGCAACAATCTCTGCACCTCCTCATGGGATGATCAAAGATGCAGGGAGATTAAGTACATGTAAAAGGCCATGCTTGCACACAGTAGGTGTGCAGTAAAAGTTAGTCCTACCACCCCTTCGCATTTTTACTCACTTGAGGTAGTTTATTGCTCTCCTCTTGTCCCGGACAGATTTTCCCTCTGTAAGAGAAAGGCAGGCTCAGAGAATAACCAGAGAGCAAAGAGATGTTGGGGTTTACGAATCACACCCTGAAACCACTTCTCATCTGTAAAAAGTGACATTACCAGGATGATCTCTTAGTTCTCAAAATATCCTAGTTCAGGAAATAGGGAGTGTTTCATGATCTGGAGATCTTCGGTGCATAGGTCGTGATAAAATGGCAAACAGTAAAAAGCAGAGAAATCTCTCTCACTGCTGTAATGCTGGAGCCATGTGGAAAATGAGGGCGAGAGTCTGGGAGTGAAGACCCCGTGGGCGTTCCTGTGATCCTAAATGCACCCCCCTCACCCCTAACCCCACTCCAGTTCTTACTGAGATGTGTATTGTCTCCCAACAGTCTTTCTTATTTGCTCCAGAAACTGGTGTTCTGGGACCCTGAAATGACCAAAATGACCAGTTAAGTGAACTCAGGATACACCAAAGTTTATGATTCTGATATCTGCTTTTAACCCTGATCATCATTATTTTGCTTTCAGGTATAGAAACATGAGCCTAATGTCAAGTACTACCCAAGTATCCGAAGCATATTCCTAGGGAGCTCAACCGGAAGGTTGACAGACTACAGTGAGAGGGTAAACTGGCTTGATGAGCTGATGAGAGGAGCAGGTGGGCCAGGTCTGTGACAGCAGGATCTGCCTTAGGCACTGTCCCTCCACAGCTACTCACAGACATGATTGAAACATGCTCTAGGCTGGTAGGGTGGGCCCTAATCTCATCTTTTAGGTGCCCTTATAGAGATGAGGACCCACAGAGACACTGCATGATGTAAGACACAAAGGAAAGAGACAAATAGGGTGTGCAGCAAGCCAAAGAGAGTCCTCAGAGGGCCCGGCTGGTGCCTTGACCTTTGACTTCCAGCCTCCTGAACCGAGAAAAAATAAATTTCTATTGCAAAAGGAGCCATTCTGTGGGTCTTTGTTGTTGTCGCTATGGCAGCCCTAGCGGTTAATATATCATCTCTTTGAGGATAAGCCACAAAGTTCTCACAGTGACCAGCAACTTTACTGTATGAGTTTCCAATTGCTGCTGTAACAGATCATTTCAAGCTTAGTGAGTTGAAACAACACCAACTTACTATTTTACAGCTCTGGAGGCCCAAGTCCAAAATGGGTCTCACTGGGCTAAATGGTGTTATTGACAGAACTATGTTCCCCTAGGAGGCTCTAGGGGAGAATCTATTTCCTTGCGTTTTGCAGCTTCTAGAAGCTGTTCGTGTTCCTAATGGTCTTTTCCTCCATCTTCTGAGCCAACATTGTGTCATTCTGAGGCTGGGGACTCTGACTTCCTCTTCCAGGCATAAGGACCTTGTGATTACACTGGGCCCACCTTTGAATAATCCAGGATAATCAGTCCGTCTCCAAGTCAGCTGACTGATGGTTTCATTCCATCTGCAACCTTTAGTGCCCCTTGGCAAGTACCAGAAGACAGTCATGGTTTCCAAGGATGAGCCGTAGTCATCATGTCTACTATCGTTCTGAGTCCACTCCTGCCACACTCTCCTCACTTCCCCCACTCCCACCACACTAGCCTCTTTGCTTTCCTGGAAAAGGCCAGGAAGTTGTCCAGTCCCTACTCAGGGACTTTGAACTTGCTGTTTCCTCTGCCCAGACTCCTTGCCCAGACAGCAGTACGGCTCCCTGATGACCCTTTATATGGGGACTTGCCCAGACAGCCTTATATAAACTAACACCCCTACCACCACCACGCCCTCTCCTCTTTGCCCATGTCATCTGTTTGACATAGCCCTCACCAGCTGTAGATGTAGTCCATTGCTTATTGCCTATAGCCCTTTTGGGGATACCCCCACACCCCACTAGAATGCAAACTCCAGGAGAGCAAGGAATTTGCTCTGTCACTGATGTTTTCCAGAGGCTGAAACAGTGCCTGGCAAATAACAGGTGCTTAAGAAAGAAATATTTTCCAAATAATTAGTATTTCAATAAGTATTTTCCAAATGAATAAATAAATGGAATACAAAGATTCATGCAAGGGCTTAAACTAAGTTACACATCAAGGTTATAAAATGTGGATACAAATTTTATTTTAGGAGTAAAAATAGTTGCAATAGACAATCTGCAAGTTGTGGGTGCAAAGGGCCACAGAATTACATGGAGGAGCTTTGGAGGAAATCATGGCGCATCCTGGAAGTTCTCTGACATCCCTGAAAGTGATTAGCTCAAGTCTGGCAAGATTGTGAAGGACAAGGAGGGAGATTATTTTATTCACATGCCTCAAGGCATTCCTCCCCATCGACATAAAAATACTTACTTTGGGGTGGCAACAGGTTTTGTTATTGGTTGGATATAAGTTTGTGTTTTTGTAGCCAGAGGAAGAGGCATTGGCCTGAAAATGAAAATAAACAATGAAAAAGAGGAAATTGGAAATTCAGAAACCTGACTTAGCATCTCCAGCTTAGGTCAACTCTTCTAATGACCCAAAATTGGAATACATGGTCTGACAGCTGGAATCTTTAAGATCAGCGTGCTCTTGGGGAACCTTAGATCAAAGATACTGGCACTGATTCACTGCCCTGTGGATCCCTCAGTTCCAAAAGTTTTTTGTGCCTCATGGAAGGGCAGTTACCATTTGGCCGGAAGCTGCCCTTTCTCCTCTGTGGTAAATCAGAGATTTCCTCATCTAAAATGACACTATGCTTAGGCAGGCCTTCAAGGGCAACAGGCAGCCAATATGCCGGTAGGGAAAGCTGTGCTGTTTGCTTCCTGGCCCTCTTGGGATTTTGCTACTAAGTTGATAGTTTTGGAAATTTCATGAGACACATAAGCCTAGAAGGGAGTCAAGCCCTCAGGTTCCACCCCACCCCAGATAATTTTTACTTGGGCTTCCCTGTGGACTTCTTATTTGGGGGTTGAGGGGTCTTGACTCGTTTCCGTGGCTCCGAGTTCCATGGGTCCAAGCAGGTACAGTACATGAGAGGGTTGGGGTACATGGCAGGCGGTCAGGGGCAGAATTGGCTGCTATGTCAGTAGGTCCTTGCTGAAATGGGAAAAAAACAGCAGAGTCGAAGCAACAAGAGAAATGCAAAGGATCTGGGATGATCCAAAACACAAATGGTGGATTCTGGAAGCCATTACCTGGTGTAGGGTCTTGTTTACAGACTAACACCTCTCCCCTCCCATCCAGTAAATTGACTTGAAAACAATTTAAAAGTTGTTATCGTTGTGTGGCTACTGTGAGCCAGGTACACAGTGAGTCATAAAGTCTTGTTATCCCAATTTTACAGATGAGGGTCCTGAGCCTCAGAGAGGTCACAGAGGCAGCGAGTCGCAGAGTTGGGAACAAACACAGTCTACCTGCCTCCCAGGGCACTGCTCCTCCATCAGGCCATTACGAGGTCTCAATGAAGTGAAGAAACATCCTTATGGTAAGTCACGCACAGAAATTTCTGGAATATGATCTCTGTTACTCAAATCACAGCACAAGTGAAACTTCAGGTTTTCAATCTTGGTCACTTGCCTGAATTAGTCAAAACTCTTCTCTTAGCTCCATAAACAGTCACATATCAAAGTCTCCATGAAAGACAACTGTCAGACAAACACGGAGGCTTGAGCACACTTATTTATTATCACTATTTACTGCGAAAATGTACAGGATTGTGAAGTAATAGGCAAAATATTTATTGGACACTGCCCTCAGTTCCTGACATAGGGTTCTCCTGACCCCCTTGAAATTCTCAATTGGTAAGAATACTGGGAGCATCTCTTGCTTTAATTGGGTACTTCTGGGTGGGCTCCTAGATGGGACTTGACAGAGAAAGACCAGCCATGATTAGAAGCCTGGAATTCTCAGCACCGCCCCCTGTTCCCCAGAGAGAGGGAGGGGGGCTGCCAGCGGGCTCACTGACTGGCCGAGCCTCTGTGAGGAAGCCGCCACCAAGTCCCATGATATGGAGTCTTGGGCTCTGGGTGAGCGAGCACGTCCACATGGAGGGTAACTCACCCAGCTCCATCGGGGCAGAAACTCCTGCACTAGGGTCCCTCCCAGACCTCGTCTATGTATCCCTTCATTTGGTTTTTCACCTTTATCTTTTTTTTTTTTTTAAGATTTATTTATTTTTACACAAGGGCTAGGGTACAGGGCAGAGGCACAGGAGGGTGAGAGGATTCACCAGAGACAGAGTGGGGAACAGAACAGGAGACTGACTAAAATACACTGCTGAGGGGAGCAGCAGGCGAGACAGGAGAGGTCTGCCGCGCCATGTGGGAATCTCCCTGGTCGGCCAGGAATTGAATGTGTGCTTCAGAGGCTGGGGACAGCTTCACAGCGCTGCGCTCAACCCGCTGTGCCACTGGGGAGGCCTTTCATCTTTATCTTTCATCATTGCCTTTAACAGACTGGTAAGCTTAAGTGTTTCCCTGAGTTTCGTAGTCTGGAGATTGTTGGAAACTGTTGTATAGCTGATCAATCAGAAGCACAGGTGACATTTGTGCTTTGTGATTGGCATCTGAGGTAGGAGGTGTCATCTGTGAGACTAAGCCGGGGGCAATTTTATTTAACAAGCGGTAAGACAAGGCTACTGAACAATCAGAGTAGATACTGGCTACAGGGCTATAGGGCTGGAAGGGGTCTTGGAAGACCTTTGTTTGACCCGGGATCAGGCCCTTCATTGCTGAGCCATGAAGTGTGAGGACGCCAATGGAGGAGATGGGCCGAACCGTCAGGGTGGCAGAGAAGACATTTAAGGGGCCTGGGCAGTGATCACTTCCAACCAGCACAGCAGTTTCAGTATCTCAGTAACTGCCTACCCACCCCTTAAATGTCAGCCCTCGACTTCCAGAACTCTCCCTAGAGGGAACATATGTGTGTATATTAATGTATACACACTTAAAGTTTTTTACATTAATGAGAGTATATTTTGTGCACTTGCCATGCTTTGTTTTACATAACAGGATGTCTAATAGGTGTTTCCACATCAGCACAGATGGATTTACCGCATTCACAGTGGCTTGATGCTGCATTGCTGGCTCTAAGAATACAGGGGTGTGTACATGTGTATGTGCATGCATGCGCTTTAAGGATCCTTTTTCTCTATTTTTTTTTAAAGTTTTGTTTATGCATGCAAGAACTGGGGTACAGGCCAAAGGTGTGTGTGTGTGGGGGTGAGAAGATTCACCAGAGACAAAGTGGGAACAGAACAGGCGAATTGACTGAAATACACTGCTGAGGGGAGCAGTGGGAGAGACAGGAGAGGTCTGCTGCGCCATGTGGGTAGCTGCCTGGCTGGGGCTTGAACTCATGCTGCAGTGGCTGTGGATAGCTTCATAGTGCTGTGTCTTAACCCCTTGCACCACCAGGGAGGCCCCCTTTTTCTTTATTCTTTTTCTTTACTGCATCTCTCTGATTTTGCCGGAGGCCCAGGGGACTGAATGTGCCTACTGGTGACACTATAGTCACAGGTAAGCCAGATTAGTCTCCAAAGTAGTCACTGGTTAGTATTAATGACTAGAAGAAAAAAATATATGAAACATCTTTTTCAAAGTGCTTACCTTGGACTGTCCCAAGACCTGCTATTTCTGTGCGGTTCCTTCCAAGTCAAAAAACGTCTTAAAGGAACCACAATGTTACAGAGAAATGGTTTCCCATCAACACAAAATCAGAATTCATTTTAGGTCAAATCCAGAAGTTCCAGGATATGAGACTTTAGTGGTCATTCCAAGTGTTTAAAATGCCAAAGCAAAAAATCCACAGTATGTGTACACAGAAAGACTTCCAGCGAATCCAAAGGCTTTTTATAAAGGTTGAACTGGCTTGAGCACAAATTCCCCCTTTCAAGCAAATCCTGTTTGTGTCTTTTAATATTGCAGTGAAAGTCAAGTTAGAGAAAGTCACCTCTCCATTTAGATTCTCTTGATTTGGTCCTTGAGTTGCGTGAGGTTTGTTTATGGGAGATGGCAGGTGAAGGTTTGTTTCTATTGCTATGGAAACAGAATGGCAGCACCTCATTGGTTCAGGCAGTCTACTTTTAATGAGAGAAGGCTGGAGAAGCAGCCAGTTAAGAAATTTTCCAACACAGGAGACAAAACAAGTTTAAGATACACTTGCAAAAAAAATAGAACTAGCAATCCTCGGCTAAATGGTCTATGGCAGAAGTTGTCAGGCAGGATCTGTGTTGGATTTTAAATTCCTCCATCCTGTGTTCATAGAAACCTAAAACTCGAAGGAATTGAAAGCTTTGGAATCAGTGAATATACAACTCTCCCAGAAGAGAATTCTTTTTCAGGCATCAAAGCTCAAAATTTTTTTTTCCTAAATAAAACTACTTTTTTCATTACAGGAAAAATTAATTGCGTACTATAGGCCAGTGGTCTTCATTTTAATTTTAGTGCAACTCACTATAGGGAATTTATTTACATGTTTTATAACAAAAAGTTGCATGAAATAATACCTTTAAAATACTCTTATTTTTCTTTTTGCAATGAATGCTGATTATATATTGACTAGACTGAGTTCATGATCTACTGATGGCTTACAACGCGTACTTTACAAATTGTTATAAATACATGCATTCATTCAATGTCACATTTTTATCTAGTGCACAAAGCGTAGAGACTGGTGAAACAGACAATACATTCACTAAAAGCACAATGAGGCTCTCATTGCCTTACCAGATGCAGAGGGAGTGTAGACTAGGGATTTCTTTTCTAGTGTGAGTCAGGCCACAGTTCTAGTCAGAGAAGGTAACTGACTAGATCTGTACATTGAAGGATTCTGACTGCAGTGTAGAGAAACAGTTTGGAAGGGCTGGGACAGGAGGAAGGGAAACCAGCTAGGGGCCTGGGGCAGTGGTTAAATGAGACATGATGGCCTCCACTGAGGGCGCATCAGTGGAGATGGTGAGAAGGATGCAGTAGAACTTGGTGATAGGTTGGGTGTCAGGGAGAGGTAAAAAAAAAGAGGCAATAATCTCTGGACTCTAGTTCAAGCTATTGAGTAGATGGTGATGCCAATTACTGAGGCATAATAACTTGGGGAGTAAACAGGCTGAGAAGAGCTGAGCTGATCATGACTTCAGCTTTGACATGTGGAGATTGATTGAGGTGCCAGGGAGACATCCAAGTGGTGATGTCTATTGCAGAGTTTGTTACATTTTGGAAATTTGAAAGAAGAGTCTGGGCCAGAAATACTTTGAGAGTCTTTAGTGCAGAGAATATGTAAAGTTAAGGAAGTAAATGAGATGCATGAATGTGAAAATCTTGCTTAGCAATTTTGCTAACAAGTCCAGAGAAACATATTTGTTTGGAATCATACTTTTTTGATTTTATGTATTTTTTTTAATAATAATTTTTATTTTTATATTCCCCATACAGTTGCAAACCCCCCTTTCTGATCCCAATCCCTCCCCTCCCGCCCCCCACCCCCCTGATTTTATGTATTTGGCTTTTTTTTTTCTTTTTTGGAATTTTTCTCTAACATCTCACATCACCCTTGGTATCATTTAGTCATACTCTCTTACAGTCTAGAATAAAACGCTTTATGCTATATTTTCATAAAACCTGCATTTGTTTATCTGAAAATTTTGTCACATTTTGACCCTTATTTCTTTTTCCTTTTTTCTTTTTTTTGTGGGACCCCGGCCGGTGGCCGGGGAACGAACCGGTGCTACAGAGGCTGCGGGCAGCCTCGCAGCCCAGCGCTCAACCGCTGCGCCACTGGGGGAGGCCCCTGACCCTTATTTCATAAAAACTAATGAAAAATAGAAAAATAGTAAAATAACTCAAAAATATAAAAAAGATGGAACAACAGAATGCTAAAAGTCTCAAACTTCTAAACTTATCAGGTTTTATCAACACACCTATTGATAATTGTGAAAGAAGACTTAATTAAAGGTGCTAGAAATATCACTAAATTCATATTAGAGAAGTAGAGTTTTCATTTATTCCTCACAGAATGTTCATCGTTCTAAAGGTATCTCAAATGAGTTTTTGAAGCTACAGCAATTAAATTGTGATGGCTGTAAGGGAACATCAAAGAACTCTTTTTATTTGAGTCCCAAAATTTCAAATTTAGTTTCTTGGAAACAATTTCTCAACAGCTAGGAATAACAAAGGTAAACTGTGGACTATAGGGAAAGGATTGCTTCACGCTTCCTGCATATTTTCAAATAAAAAATCTGCATATCAATGACTTTATTTTTGTTGTTACTGTTGCTTTGCTAAGGAAAATATGGCATATATAGACACCCCCTCTATTCTATTTTTTAAAAATCTAAGAAAATACAGTAAGATCTGCTCACTAAAGATATTGCTAGTTTGTTTAGTGTTGGTTTGGAAAATACAAGTTGTTTTTCTGTACAAAAAAAACAACATAATGGGAAGACTTAATGAAGGATTATCTGTGCAAAGAACTGGGACAAAAAACACAGGGAGACAGATGAAAATGTAACAAGATACTAATGTTTATTATCTGATTTACACTTAGCAGAGATAGGTGCACAAAGAGCTGTTCGACAAGGTCTAGTCCCAGATATTAAACACCAGTACTTCCCAGCTGTCCAGAGGGCACTTGATGCCACACCGAGGTGGCCGTGCTCTGTAGTGCACCCAATCAGTGTGGACACCTTGGGTTGCGCTGGGAGAAAAGGCTGCATGCATCTGACATCACAGGAGTGGACTATTAATCACTAAGCTCTAGCTCCTGATGTCAAAAGTCAATGTTAGTAATTACTAAGTACTGACTGTGTACTAGAATGTTCAGAAAAAATAACAAGCTTTGAATACTTTATAAAATACACCCTATACAGAGAATAGGCTCTTGTGAGCTGCCTCTAATTTCTTTTCTAAGCCAAAGTCTATCCGTGTCAAATCAAGGAAATATAGTACAAAACTTTTTTTTTTTTAAATGACTTCAACAGTGGTCATTAACTTTTCCCCAGAAGATCCACATCTAAGGCTATTTACATAAAATTTGGGTGACATAATTGAGAGCTTTTAATTCTAAGCTCAGGGAAGGTTTTGCTCCTACTAGGGAATAGAATCCTCAGAAAGGATACTCAGAAATACCTGAGGTATAATCACCGAGAACCTTTTTGAAAGAAAAGAAAAAAAAAAAGATGGAGTTTTCTGTACACACAATCGATACTCCAGAGAACAAGAAAACATGAACAGTATTAAAGCTTAACAGACAGATTGAGGAGGAGCTTGCTAGGCTCCTTACCACACGTTGCACATTAATTTGTTATAATAGTCTCAGGCTGTACCCAAAACGATTTTAGGTGGAAAAATTAAAAAACAGAAAATCCCAATTTCAAACCAGGATTCATCCAGGGACAAGCACGCACCACCATATGAGTATTGTGCTTCTGGTGTAATGTCAATGACCAAATTTTCAAAAACCTGTCTGGTTCTCTTTAATGAGACATGTTTATTTGGCTGTGAATACACCTTTGCCTTGCCTCCAAAGTGATCTAAATTTTAGCATTGATTATAAAAAAGTGCACTAATTATACAGAACACTCAAAAAGTCTAGCTTACTGTCCAGCGATTTGTGTAACACATAAATATGGCAATGCAGCACTTTATACTACTCTCTGGCCCTACATTTTCCTACTTTTAGTTATTTCCTAGAAAGTGGCAGTAGGAAGATTACTTTCTTAGAGAAAAATAAAAAACTTTAAGAATTGGCTAAAATAAGCACCCCAGCGATAATTTTTGAAGTAGAAACTCAGACAGTATTTTTTTCAAAATTAATTGGGATAGTTTGGAAATTTAACATCAGGGATTCTGATAATGCCCACTACATTCAGGATGCAACTGCTGGAATCCTTTCTGAGAGCATGTATGTGTAAGGCCTGCTAACCCCAGCATGACTGACTAAAGGGGTGAGCATACTTGTACTTCCTGTTTTTAAGAAATTTAGAAAAGTTTTATTTAGGTTCTAAAAAGCATGAAACTCACTCTCTTAGCATTGCATGCACATTGGCTTTTCTATCTTTAGAGCACATGGCTTTCCATGTAGGAGAGGCACCCCAAAGGGAGAGAGGATGGACTCTCCTCTAGCCTGGTATCAGGTGCACCAATGGAGACCCGAGGAACAAGATTCTCATGAAGAGTTCAGAAAACTGCCTTTCAGTTAAGTCAGAACAAAGGAGCAAAATGTTTGCAAAGTGAGCACCAAAAGGATCAAATAATATATATCCTATTTTCAAAAATAGTAAGTAGGCCCCTCCCCTATCTTCAGATAATGGCATTTCTACACTGCCCTACCTGGTAAAACCACGTCACCTGATGAAGAGCAGACCTTGATCAGCAACACTCAGAAAGCAGATTTGTTTCTTCCTAATTCACAGCCTTGTGTCACACAGTTGAACTCTGAAACTTAATCCCCAAGTTTCACTTTGTTTAAAAAAAGTCCCAGAGAAAAAGAAAAACGGCTTAACTCTTCCATTAAAAAGGTTATTCTCAAACTACACATATCAAAAAAAAGGCAGCCGTGTTTTAATTTACATTACAAAAACCCCACAATCTCAAAGCAAGCACCTGGGTTTTATTTTAGCTTATAATAATTTAATGTGCCTGAGAAATTTGTGCAAATACATGTATCTTTCATTAAAAATATGCATAGCACACATAGAGAAAAGCTTAGTTGTAACCAACTATCCTTACAATAAGTTCACACACATAAATACAATATTCCCTAATTCCTATTCATTGCACTTTCTGATTGGCTGGTTTTGTCTTCCAGCCTCCAAGGAAATTTGAATGCAATTACTTTCATACTCCTTGGCCACTGCACTTATCCCAGAAGAAATATTCTGAAAACAAGTTTCCTTGGTTCCAATTACTCATATTTTCTTTTTTAAAGTAAATTTCCATCATTTTCCATCCAAGTTTGTTTTTTTGGATGTCGTATAAAAATACAAATTTTAAGCATGAATGTTTATTAATTACAAGTACAAAAGGAATATGGGTAGTGTTTGGGTTCTCAGTGGTTTAAAGGCCTAAAAATAGCAAAAAGGGAGTTTCTATTCTACTCTTAAGAAAGGTAATGTTAACTCCTTGTTTGCTAATGCTGTAAGCATACCACTTGATGGACACAAAATTTAATCAGACAGGAACAGGACAAACATAAATGTCACCTCACGGTGGTCTCAGTAACACTGAGCTTCCTCTAGCGACCCTCCAGCACACCTTTCTACAGGCAACGGTGAAAGCAGTTCCTTCTCTCCCCAGCTCCTCCCTTGGGTTCCCCCTGCTTATGTTTACCGGATGCCAATGTGCAGCAAGTCCAGCATTTCTGGGATGTTTCAGTATTATTGAATTTATTTTCTAATCATTTTGAGACAAGAAAACCCAACTGAAGGAGTGTATTAAAACTTTTTTTCCTTTTCTGCCACTAACCACTCATGACCCGTTTCTCTCAAATTACCAGACGTCACCCCAATTCTGTTTCCGTCCTTCCACCTTCCCCTCCCCACGTTCACGGCCCTTCTGCGACATCCCTGTTCTCTCCATCAGACCAGACTACCTGTAGTGGTGCAAAGCTAGCCTTCATGTGCCAACTGGTACAAGAGGTCAGGGAACTGAACCTGAGCTGAACCTCAGTCCTCCTTCAGGATATCCATTTTGGGGGAGGAAGTGCAAACTGGGGTGTTAAAGCTACCCATCATTACTGGAAGACTCTGATTCCTCCTCAGTCCACTCAATAAATTGCTACCTGAATTTAAATAAACAGCAGAGTCTGGTCTTCGAAGACCAATTTCTGCCTCTTGGCTTCTTCCATTTTCCTGGGCATCAGGAGTCTTGATCGCTCTAGCTATCCCCAGTCTCTTCAGTCTCTCCACCAAGTTCATCTTTAACTGGCCAACATCAGGAGGGGCCCGGGAAGGCCTTAAGCCATACATCTCCTGGAGGAATGTTTCAGCTGGTCGAGAGGCCAAAAAATTTTCAGATGTATGTACTCGAGGCTCAAAGGGCAAAGGAGAGGGGCAAGGTGAGTGAGATGGTGAATTTGGTGGTGTGGAAGGGATAGCTAGGGATTTAGGGAAAGGCTGTAGCAGGGGGGTCTCTGAAACCGGGCTGTGGTACACTTTAGCAGAGATGCCTCGCTCTTGCAGAAGTCTGGCCAAGCTCATAGTGCTGCTGAAGGTTATGGTGGAATCTCGTCGGTTGGTGATGGATTCGCCGATGCTGAGTCTATAGGACATGGCAGGAGAATTCACCGCTGTGTTTGATGAACTGCTACCACTACTTCCACAGGATAATGAAGGAAACCCAGAGCTTCAAAAAAAAAAAGGGGGTGGGAAGAAGGTTAGAAGGTTTAAGAATAAAATATTATCTGCAAGTCAGCATTTGCAGTAATTACAGTGGTTATCTGTTATTCTTAGAAATTTAAAGATTAAAGGTAACCTTTAACATCTTTATATTATTATTATTTAATTAATATATTTATTTCTTAAAGTGACAACAATCTATGAGTAAACAATCCTTCAACTTTTTAGAAAACAAAATCTTTCATTATTAAGCTTAAGATGCTCTTCTAAGGAAATGGAGACAGAATGGAAAGGGTACTTTAATCAATTTTTTCCCATTGAGCAAATGTTACCAGTATTTCACAGGCAAACTTTTACTTTAACACAAAATACTCAGTCTATCAAGATATGAAGATTTTTAAAGATTAAGAATATAAGGAGAATTTTTAAGATTAATAAACTTTCTAAAGTACTTACATGAAAGAAGCAAAATTCAAACAAGTTTGATCCCTTGCTTAAACCAGTATATATACTATGCACCCAGTCTCCCACCTCCTGCCCCTTCTTTATGGTAATCAATCAATCATCAATCAGACATCAATTATGAATACACAATGAAGCTTCAAACTGCCCAGACTCTCTTACCTGGGGGTAACCTGAGTGATATCGGAAGGATGTAATATCCTACAGGTGGTGAAGGTGAATGTCGAGTTTGTGCATGACAGACACTTTCCTGGGTTTGAGGTTGCAACTGAAGTAGAGATGTTTAGGGAATCAAACACAAAATTGAAAGACTAGGTTAATAATGTATTAACCTAAAAATGTATTATTTATTAATAGATCAACTATCAAATGTCTTTTACACAAAACCCCTCAAATCTGGAAGTGAAATATATACATCAACATTGCTTAGTATTGCTGTTTAGTATTTGGTTGACATCTCCAATACCTTCAAACTGTAAATCAAAGGGCTTAAAAACAGCTTAGAAGCAAGAGAAAAACACATTTTGAAAACATATATTTAAAAAACCAGAAAACAAGACCTATTCATCCAAAAAACAAAACAAACAAATAAGAAGATAGTCAAACTACCTATACCAGTGGTTCTCAAAATAAGGTTCCCGACCTTTGTCAGAATCTGCAGGTCAAAACTACATTCATAACAATACTAAGGCTCTATCTTGTCTCTTATCTAGGCTGGCATTTACAGTGCTGGTACAGAAGCAATGGTGGTAAAATTGCAGACTTCCCAGCACAATTTAAGGCAATGGCACCAAGTTGTACCAGCATTCTTCACTGCTGTCCACTCATAGTGTTTGCTTTTTTTTAAAAAAGCTTAATTCATGTAACAATGTCTTCAATGAGGCAGTAAAAAAAAAAAAAATCACTAAATTTTGACCTTTGAATTTTTTTTTAAAGATTTATTTATTTATGCATATAAGAACTGGGGTACAGGCTAGAGTTTGGGGGGCGGGTGACAGCATGCACCAGAGACAGAGTGGGGAACAGAATGGGCAGACCGACTAAAATATACTGCTGAGGGGAGCAGTGGGAGAACCTGATAGTTTCCTAATACTTAAGGACTTTTCTGATGCAACAGGTGGTGATATTGATGTGATTTTAAAGTTACATAGTAAAGTGTGTCACTATTTGGAAGACTTTTATAACTCAATGAGCCAATATTTCTCAAGCAACCAGTGCATGATGGACAAAATCATAGGTAGATAATAGATGTATTCAAATTATGAGATAGATTTTAACGTAAAAAAATATGAAAAGTTCATTGATAATTTTTCAGATTCCACATTCCTGAAGCCTTCAAGAAACTATCAGTTATCAAATTTTAGTGCAATATCAAAGAACAGCCACAAATATCTGAAGAGGCTTTTAAAATACTTTCTCCTCTCCTAACTACATTATCTATGTGAGGCTGCATTTTCTTTATACTCCTCAACTAAAACATCATCTCACAAAGACTAAACATAGAAGCTGATACAAGAACCCAGCTATCTTCTTTAAGCCATAAATTAGACTCCTAAAAAATCATGAAACACTATTTTTCTCATGAATTAAACATTATTCCTTAACGTGCAATTATTTTTAAATGAGCTAATATTTTTTAAGATTTCTGTTGTGGGCCTCATTGGTGGCTCAAGGGGATAAGTCTCAGCACTATCAAGCTATCACCAGCCACTGCAGCATGAGTTTGCTGGGCCAGGGAGCTAACCCACATGGTGCAGCAGAACTCTCCTGTCTCACCCGCTGCTCCCCTCAGCAGTGTATTTCAGTAGATCTGCCTGCTCTGCTCCCCACTCTGTCTCTGTGAATCCTCTTACTCCCCACATCTCTGGCCTACACCCCAGTTCTTTTATGCATAAATACATAAAAATAAATCGTAAAAAAAATTCTGTTGTGATTTCTAATATGGTAACTATTGATAGAATCAATATGTACAAGCACTCGGGAATTCTCAATGATTTTTAAGAGTGTAAAGAGATCCTGAGCCAAAAAGGTTTACAAAGTACTGACTGATCTCTCACTCTGCCACTCTATTTACACAGGCCAACTAAGATAAAATGGAGAGAACTAAAAAGATCACTAATGTCACAGATTTTCATTACCTGATATTTAAGACTGAGTACATTCCAGTGAGATTTAAGTAGAGGTAGTCAGCTGAGAATGTATTAAGTTAGAATGCCAAGTACCACTGGTTACTAGACTATATTCAACCAAGCACTCTTCTCACCTGTTACTGGCCCACCTGCTGAAGTCATGGGTGGTAGGAAGATTCCTGTCACTGGCTTAGGTGGTTTCTGTTCCACTTCAAGAGGCTTTTGAACCTGAAAAGTGATACCTTCCTCATCATCCTCTTCTAAATCTGAGAGGTGATAAATGGCATCTTTGGGCAACTGGGTGAAGCCTTTTGTGATGACACCGGGTCGTGGATCAAGAATGGTTCCTAAATGAGGTTGAGCAAGCTGCTGCCAGTGGTGCAGAGTCTGTGAACCTGAATACACAAGACCAAAAAAAAGGGGGGAGGTGAGGGAGACACAGAGTTAACAGAAGTTAAAATTGTATGTAAGCAAGTAATGATGTTAATAAAACTACTTATGTGGTTTTAATAATTTGGAAAAATTTGCAAGTTAAAGTTCTCTGTGAAAGACTGACAATATGCTGAAGGTATGAATAATCATGTTTCTATCAATATTTCAAAAGTTAATTTTAAAAAGAACATATAAAGCAGGGGTGAAAAACCAAGACAATAATCTTAAAAGGAAGTTGGATGCTGAGGCTGAGAAGGAAGAGATGTATCTCACAGATGAGGCTGTATTTTGTTATGAATGCTGAAATCAAAGTTTTGCCAGAGAGCCTCCCCTGGTGGTGCAGTGGTTGAGCGCTGGGCTGCGAAGGTGTCTGCAGCCTCTGCAGTGCCAGTTTGATCCCTGGCCGCCGGTGAGGGTCCCACATGGCACAGCAGACCTCTCCTGCCATGCCCGCTGCTCCCCTCAGCAGTGTATTTCAGTCTGTCTGCCTGTTCTGTTCCCGACTCTGTCTCTGTTGAATCCTCTCACCCTCCTGCACATCTGGCCTGTGCCCCAGTTCTTGTATGCATGAATAAATAAATCTTTAAAAAAAAAAAGAGAGAGAGAAGGTTCTCTTGCTCCCTCTCATCCATCTATCTATTTATCTCTCTATCTAGCTACCTATCTCTCGATCTAAATCAGTAAAAGAAACTGACAGTTGCTAACTTGGAGATGGCAAATCTCTTCACTCATTTCTCACAAAGTAGTACAATGCACTGTTACCCAATGAGATTTAGGAATAATAAAGATACCATTTTTGTACACACTGCTGTTATAATACAAATCTCAATTCCAGGGGAAGGAAAGACCAATAAACATGATGGTTAAAAAATGGTCCATACTGATTTATTACCTTCAAGGGGCTTGACAATTTGCAATTTTTCAGGCATAAAACCTCGAAGGCAACTAGCACTGCTGAGGTCTGTGATCTCCGACTGATCGGTGCAGAGAGAGGCAAGGCTCCCTGGAGGGGTGCTACCATCACCAACCCCATCTTTCTGGTTAGCCAGAACTTGGATCTTGCGCTCCCATTCTTCAGCAAAGAACTGTTTCTCACTTAAGTAGTTCTGTCGCCGCAAACTAAGGCGATGCAGTGCTGTAGCCAAATCACTATCTCCACAGGGTCCTGGCTGATCCAACTTCTGAGTATTCCTAAGGGAAAATCACATTCACTGCAGTCAGTGAAATGTCTGTTAAGTTCATAAGCACACTCTAGACCTGAACCTTCTACAATGGTGAATGTTCAAGAGACTGATACTAAAAACATAGTATTTCTTCTTAGTTATCTGGAATACAGAAACTGTGAAATTAAATCAAAACAACTAATATTAGATATATGTGTGTGTGTGTGTATAACTTTTACAGGTTATTTCAAACCACTTCAGATAGGCAAAAATATACTTTATTATTGTTATTTATTAACTTTTCTACTTTACTTAATTTAAAAAACTACTTGGGCCTCCCTGGTGGTGCAAGATGTTAAGCACCATATGATGAAGCAATCTGCAGCCTCTGCAGCACGAGTTCAATCCCCGGCTGGCCAGAGAGAAACCTACATGGTGAAGCAGTCCTCTCCTGTCTCGCCTGCCGCTCCCCTCAGCAGTGTATTTCAGTTAGTCTGCCTGTTCTGCTCCCCACTCTCTCTGGTGAATCCTCTCACCTCCCATATCTCTGGCCTGTATCCAGGCTTTGTAGGCATAAGTAAATAAATCTTTAAAAAATAAATAAAAAAAAAACCCCTACAGATATGACCATCTATTAATTCAGTTTTGGCAGTCAAAAAAGTATTATATTTCACTGAATCTATAATGTCAGTGATGTAAGAGATACTATTATTTTATGTACTGCTAAGAAAAAACACACCCACTAAACGATGACAAACCATTAGCTAACAATTTCAAAAAATAAAATGTGAAAAAAATTGTTTTGAGTCATAGTCCTCTATGAATATCGCAGAGCATTAAAAATAAAACAAGATTTAAATACTGCATTTTCATAATTATGTAATATATATTTTTTCACTTTTCAATATTAAAAAAATTGGGGATATAGTTAATATAAAAGGAAGAGTAGCAAATTGAACTGTAGTTGACCTCGGCTGTTGGCCATATTTTCTCCTAAGGTAAATGAATGCAGGAGGTAGTACTGAAACATAAAGCTACCATGGTGCAGCACATGCCCACTACAGGCTAGATAATTCAACCAGGGCAATGGATTTCTGTACTAGTAAAGACTTCTCTCAGGTGCCAAACATACAAGCTATTTTAAATAGACTGAGTCAATACATTTTTTCAAAGTCTTTTATGAAATTGATTATCTGTCTTAAATAATAATTAAATTTAGGGCATCATTACTGAAAGAAAACTGAAAACAGCTCCAGAACTTTCCTAGGATAGCAGAGAGCTCAACTCAAATGCTGGATTTGAATATATGAACCTGGTATGTTGATGTCACAGGAACCTTACCCTGGAACCTCCTCTGAGCTGCTCCCTGGATTCAGAAGTGTTTTGTCCTCTGCTTGTTCTAACTCAGACTTAAAAGGTTTGGCTGTCATGATGACACTTGAACGGTTGGAACCTGGAATGGGTAGCAGAGCTGGGAACACGACAGAGCGGCCCCGTGTATCATTGGCGACCTTGACAGTATCAAATACCCGTTTCTGCTGGGCTCTGTCAAAAAAGAAGTGTTCATTGTTGCATGACTTAGCTCTGGAGTGCTTTAGAAAAGAGACATGTATTACGGTTTACTAAAAATAAAGGCACCCTGAATAGCTGCTAAGTTTGGAGAAATCACTAGCAAGTAAACTTGAGAATAAAAGCACACTTTTACAAAAGGGAGTACTAGTAAGTAAATTTACTACTGAATCTCACAATATCTATCACTTTGGATGGTGACTTCTTTTTCATTCTCCCCCACCCCACCTCCCGACTGCAGGAACAACAAATGTGATTTGTACTTACTTTTGCTTAAAGAATGAAGATTCCTCATCCAAACTCAACTCTTTACGCATGGTCCCCTCAATTTCAGCTGCCAGAGATTCCTAAGAAAAAAAAGAGTCTGAAATGCCTACAGTGATTAAGAGACTGGAACTATTACTTCTAAGTAAGGATGAAGGAATTTTCCATGATATATTTTACAGGAAAGCAGTGGGAAAAAGCAGTCTGATAAAGAGAAAATGTTACATATGCAGACACATAAAATGAAAAGGTCTGAAAAGCTATAAACCAAGATGTTAATGATGACTCTGTAGGGTCAGGATTTGATGGTATGTAATAATTTCTTTTTGTTTCTCTGTAGATTCTAACTTTTCTGTAATTATTTCTTGAGAGGGCCTGGAAGCAATGATATTCTAATGACAGTTAATATACTTAGCACCTGATCATGTATTCTAAATACTATTTTTCATTAAAAGGAACCAGAGATCCCGGAAAAATGGTTGATTCACGGGCTGGGACTGGGAAAAGGCAGAATGAGGTTGAAGGAGATCCCACTGACCATACCTAGGACAAGTTGAGTATCAAAATAAAAAGTAGGAATAATGGATTCTAATCCATTAACTAAAATAGGTATCCATGAATCCACACTCGACTAATGAACAAATGGCAAATGAACTAATTAATAAATGTGACCAAAAACCCTAACTTACACAAAAAATGACAATAAATGCTGGGAAATGACTGAATTAGAGAGATCAGCATTTGGTAACTATAATAGTAATAACTGAGAAAGATAAGATTATACTTTTTTAGATTTGTGTTGATGGGATTATACTCTAACTGGAGTTAAATATACCAAGAAACAATTGTAGATCTATTAAAAGAGGTTTTAATTATTCAGAGCAATATTTGAATAAGTGGCATGTGGGAGGCCTACGATAAGGATGACCCAAATTTAAGTGGCTCTGCAGCACACAGGCGTAATCCCAATTTCCTGAGAGTTCATCTTATGTAATACAACAAATATGGATGGTCATCTGTTAGAAGGCTGTGATAAATGAGAATTAAAGTAGATGCAGATTAAAGCCTAACTCAATAACTGAATTCCAGAAACAAGGACAAATGGATTATGTCTTCTCAAGGTGCTTTACACCATCAGTAATAAAATCTACTCTTTAACAACTTTCCTTAAATACACAGCCTCTTTCTCATTTCCTTACCCCAGACTGGGAGAAGTAAAGATGAGCAGCTGGGCCAGATCTACTACGAAGTTCCTTTATTTCTTCTTGGGATTCATGTAACATTCCCAGACACTCCATATTCCTGTCTTGTAACTCATGCAGCTGGAAGAAATGACATATTCTACTACATTCTCAAAATAACAATGGGGGTAAAAACCCCATTGGAATAAGTATCGATTATAGCCATAGGGCTAGCTAACTTTATGCATATAATTTCAATACAAAGACTCTGAAACAAACTAGGCAAGGGAATATATTTGAAGTTGCAAGAATTAGGGAATGTCTTGGCCAGAATCATATGTAAGTAAGATTTTCCTAAGAATCTGAATGTAGCTGAGATAATCCTATTTTCAATTAATATTTAATACTTCATGTCCTTAAAAAAACTTATAGAGGAAGTGTAATAGCTATGGTTAAGTTAGGTTTAGCACAATGTTATATATACCACATCCTTGAATAATGCTGTTTCTCTTATCACTCAAGGTTGTTTCATTATAACTTTGATGAGAAAACAGAAATCCTGGCTGACTTTGACAAACAAATCATTGACCTGGCTTAATTATAGTTATGTGTGTATATACATATATTTTAAACATCTCTTAAGTCTGTACATGACATGATCAAATCTACAAAGCATTGCACATGGTATGCCAGGGTGCTCAATCATACCAAATAACTAGTTTCTTCTCACTTATTTCACAATCTTCTCGATAGTCAAGACACACAAGCATGGTAAAAGAGCACATAATTATTAGAATGTATTTTAACTTCAAAAATATTCTAGTTTACTGAAATATTTGAAAACATTTTCTAACGTCAAATTTTATAATCTAATTGCTGGTTCTTTAAAAAATATTGTAGAAACTACATACTGGTTATTTTGTTCATTTTCCCTATTTGTGTTTGACCATTTTCTTTTCTCCATGAGCTCTTTTATTTTAGTTCTTGAATGACTATTTGAAATTTCACCTCTTACACGAAGACTTCAAATTTTTAGCACAGTACCCCAGACAGGAAGTCATGTCTGTATAAATATCTGAAGTCATTCCTAATGGCTACCATGCAATAAACTATAAGAAAGAAGTGGAAAACAAACAAGTGTGGTATATGAACAGGATCATCAGCATCACCGGACTGAGGTACAGATTGCCCTCACTCTAGATCTACTCGATTAGAAGCTTCTGGGGCTGGCTGCCTGGGAACCTATATTTAAAACTCACTCTCCCAGGTGATTCTTATGCATGCTAATTTATATTGAATAAATAGAATTTAAATCATAGAAAGTGAGATTTTTTGCTATTTCCCCTGACCTGCAAAAACATCAATTGTTAAAAATATTCTTATTTTAAAACTATTGGGTCTACAAAAGTAAACTGATAGAAGGGTCACATATTCCTACAAGAATCTTAAAACAGTGAAATTCTTTTTCCTAGAAATCTAGAAGGATATTGGCAATTATTACTTTTAGAGACAGAATTATTTATTTAAAATATGGTACACTTCACAAATTTGCATGTCATCCTTGTGCAGGGGACATACTAATATTCTCTATCAGCCCAATTTTAATTATCTGTGCTGCTGAAGTGAGCACAAAACACACTTTTTAAAATGCTTTCATTCTTAGGCTCATAATTTTGTCTTAATCTTCTGTTGTTATTGTTGTTTTAAATCTGGCAGTACCCTTTAATAATTCTTATTCATGAAAATGAAAGAAACTCCCTCCCATAGTGCAGAAGATAAAGATTTCCTTACTTCCATTGTTAGTTGTCTTTGGGCATCTTTGGAAGCTTGTAGGTGAAGCCTCAGTTCTTCTTTCTCAATCACATGCTAGCAAAATAGTTAAAGAGACACATGAAGCTATCCCATAAAACAAACATCTCTTTTTTTTAAGAGTTTCTCTGAAGGATATAGTGTAAACACTTATAAAATGCTAATTTTTCAAAGGTTAAATAAGATAATAAATGGGCAGAATACAAAAATCATCAGGGTGTTCACAGGACAATGAACATGAGTCAATTCATACCACAACTTTCTGGAGAAAATCTAACCTCATGGTAAGGAGGGAAATAGTGACCTGAAAGTAGTTACAAACGATACTTCGTAACTGGGAGGAGACTAAAACAATAATCAGATTAAAGCACTTCATAAGGGCAGGAAGCCTGTTTATTTTGTTTAATGTACTTTAGCACTTAGCAGGTCAGTGCTTAACAAGCATCTGTTGAATGAAAGAATGAACCTACTTCTTTAAGTTTGTGTTGAAGATCTACAATCTGAGACAGGAGAGAGGAAATCTCTTCCTGGTATCGAATCAGTTCATCACTCTTCCCGGACAATTCTTCAGTCATTTTGGACATCTGCGCATTCGTTTCACCTTGGAAACAAACAATCAAACAAACAAAAAAAAACTGATGCAAATGTAGGGTGCAAGTATGGATTGAGTCAAATCCTGTTTTGTGACAAGAAATGAACTATCACAAATAGGTTTTTCTTTTAAATAAACTTGAAAAGGCTCCAAATTAATAGAAGACGTTGAAGTGAAAAAGAAAGGACTTGTAAAGGCAAGTAAGTTAAAAGGTTTTGCTTCACTCTTTTTCCGTATCAATGACAAGTCATCATTTAAGAATTCTGTCACTTATCAGTTTTCTGACTTTGGCAAATCAGATTCTCTACAGACTATTTCCTCATCAACAAAATAAGAGGTTTGGTTCCTTTTACTCTGACAGGTGGCAATTTATAGAAACATATCTTTATTTAGATGATGATGACAATTTGAAACAAATATATTTCTTAAGAGTACATACAGTATTTTATTTAGGGTTGTGGGCTCAGTGTTATACTCCACAATTTTCAGTGACTATTTAAAACTGTTTCTTGAGATGCTTCTATTTTAAATAATTTAATTTCTGAGTTGGAGATATTAAACCAAAGAATTATCCAAAAGCTACAAAACAGAATACGTTAGTACTTACGGAGTTCCTTAACACAGTCATGGACAAGTTGTTGTTCCTTCTCTTCATAGGTAATAGTTTCAGTCTTTATGTGACAAGCCTTTAAGAAAAAAAAAAAAATCAGTTGGCGATAACATCTAATAATTTTACAGTATTAACTAAACTCCCCCACTCCCACCCCCCCAAAAAAAACCCTTTAATTATCATTTTAAAGCTCAGCACTTACAAAGGGGAGAAAAACTACATAGCTTTACCTACCATAAAATAAAGGTATGGAAAAGGACATGACACCCATCTCCCCTTCATTCCTCTAGGGGTGTTTGGCATGCCTGCTCATCCTCCAGGCCCCTTCCTTTCACCATATAACTCCACCTGGTTAGTTCCTAGCCTCAGCTAAAATGTTACTTGTGTAAGTAGGAGTTCTTTGATTCCCCTCCACCACACAAGCGCACAGGATCTAGTAATTATCAGACACAGCCCTTACCACAGCTGTAACTTACCCAGTTATCTGCGTAAACTCCTCAAGATCAATATTCTATGCTGTGGATTTCTCTATTTCACCTGTCAACTGCCCATTATCCACTTTTCAGAGGGATCTAAGTAACAATGAATATATGTGCCTTTGCTGTCACTCCCCAACTCCATACCCTGACTGGAATTCAAAAGCAAATCCTTAGTTATGTCACATTTTACCTCAATAACACCTGAACCTAATCTTTCAGTTTTTTAAATAAAGGAAAGTGGGAAATAAATTCAAAGTACCTTGGATCGAAGAGCCATATTTTCTTCTTCCAGTTCCTTGAGCTTTTCTTGCAGCATGTCCAACTGCAGCAAACCTTGAGATAAACTGAAGGATTCATTGAACCGAAGAGGGGTAGAACAGCTGGAATCAGTTTCACTTTCTTCTGAAGCAATGGAGACAATTCGAAGTAACTCATCTTTCTTGGATAGTTCATGCTGCAGTTGATTAACCTGCACAAAAAAGGTACTCAATTTACAAGATATTCTTCATTTTGCAGGGTTTATATGAAACATAGCTTCTAATTAATGAAGCAATTGTTTCTCACCAAAAAACAAAGTAATAAAACCAACTGCTACATTTTGCTGACTGAAGTAGCAAGTGCTGAAACGAGATTAACACACTTCAGATACTTCCTTAAACTATAATTTCAGAGCATTAACTCAACAAATAACAGCTTTTTCTATACTAGGAGAGAAGAGAAACCCAGTTTCACAGTCTATGTAAAAGAAACATAGGAAGAATGTTCATATAAGATAATGATACATTCACAGATGAAAACAAAAGTGAAGAATCTTCAAAGTATCAGAACAGACTTTTACTTCAAATGCTCATCCTAAAGGTTTGTACTTTTAAGCTATAAAAGTCTACAACACTTGCCAAGGTCAGTCAAAACTATTCCCAAGAGGGAATAAATATTTTTATCATAAAGTCTCAAATGCTATTAAGCATAAGCATATTTTTAAAATATATATGGAACTAGGTAATAACAAATAACAATAGAAAATTTGAAATTAAACCATTCAAGTTAATAATAAAGGAGTTCCCACTAAACACAATTATTACTGTGGAGTAAACATATTTTCAAAAATTTCCTTTTCTCTTTTTGTTGGTTTTTGCATAAAGATATTTCACTTAGGTATCTATTACATGGGGATAATTTTTTTTTTAAAGATTTATTTATTTACGCATACAAGAGCTGGGGTATAGGCCAGAGGCATGTGGGGTGAGAGGATTCACCAGAAACAGAATGGGGAACAGAACAGGCAGATTGACCAAAGTACACTGCTGAGGGGAGCAGCAGGCGAGTCAGGAGAGGTCTGCTGCGCCATGTGGGTTGCTCCCTGGCTGGTCGGAGCTGAGGATAGCTTCATAGGTTGCGTCTTAACCCTTGTGCCACCAGGGAGGCCCCCATGGGGATAAATTTTTAAGAATTTAAAATATCATACACAAAATCTACACAAAAGCATGAGGATAAAATGTTCAGACTCTATGCAGGTACCGAATATAGGGTTTTGTACTGACAAAGGTGGGGCCACTTAAGCATTCCTCTGTACAATATCATTTCATTTCTCTACTGGTTAGTTCAAATGTTACCAACAAGGTCAACATGTACTGGTGTTATATACCTATCTATTGTCACCACTTCAAGGACATCAAAGAAAATAACTTACCATTGCTCAAGACCTAGTTATTCATCCTGTAATACTTGACCAAAGACTTACTTGATCAAAGGCTTGTCCCAATTGCTCCTCCAGGGCCTCATTCTGCTCAGACAAGACATGGTTCCGCTTTAAGAGTGCTTGTCCAATTCGAGCAGCTAGCTCCAGATCCCGATCCCTCTGTTAAAATATCAGACATACCTTTTCTTAAATATAAACAAAATTAAATGGTAGTTTAGAAATTCTGTAGTCAAAAGCAGTATCCTAAAATGCACCAAAATCTTTTTTAATGCCCAGATACCATAAATGAACACAGAGCATAATACACAGGCAGTAATTAATAAATGCTGGTCAAATGAATGACCACCATGGCTATAAATGCATGAGGGCATCTCTTTTTTTTATATCAATGAGATTTATTCATCACTCTATTGATTAGGATCCAATAACCCAATCTTTTTTACTTACAACTTTGGGGAGTCAGAAAATCAATGTAGTCTTTATAATGAGGACAGGGCCCACCACACAATAAATGTGCAACTAATATTTGTTGACTGCATTTACCTATTAAGCAGAGTAATAATTTAGTATAAAGTATTTAGGATACAGGGATCACATAGGTATGCTAAAAAGTTCCAATTAGGGCAAAGCTTAAGTGCATTCAGAGGTAGAAATTCAGAGGAAAGCACAGTAAGAAGCCCTATTGTCAAATGGTGCAAGAATGATAATGTGAAATAAAATAGGGAGAAAAAATATAAATTTTGGATTTATAGGATTCTACTTAGAGTACAAGAGGAATTCTTGTTGGTGGTAGTATGTAGGAAGGTCTACAGAAAAGTCAAGCAAGGCAAAAGTTACTCTTTCTGGGTAGAAGGGGATAGTAAGGGCCAAGGAATCCCTTTACATGGTGGTCCAAGGCTTATATTCTGTAGGATGGAAAATTGTCAATATATATCTGCCTTATGAGAGTATGGGTACCACTTACATTAGTCAATATAAACAAAATTAAGCTTCTACCCTTTTGCTCTATAGTACATAAAAACATATGAATGGATTTTCAATATAGACTTAGTGGCAAAAACAGAATCATTCCAGGGAGCTGAAGTGGGGGGAAGGGTACTTCAAAGTGAAGATCAGTCTTTCATTAAGATCAACTTAAACTGAAGTAACTAGAGAGATCTCTATGACTGCCAATTATAAGAGATACACTATACATCTAAACGTCATGGATAACAGCCTAAACTGAAAGCAAACAATTGCAGGTGTTGATCTGTAAAGGAGTGTTTCTTGAATGGACAGCTCTGCTCCAGAGTAACAGCAAGGATTTATTACTAAATAATAGTTTTTAAAGATTATTTTTCTACAACAGGGAGGCCAGCAAGCACCACTATAACATCATCCACAACAACAAAAATTAAACCATCTTCAACTTTATAACACTAAAACTTCAAGAATTGTTCTGTTTTGGAATGCTAGTCTATATGCCAGTTGTAACAACCTATTTAAAATGACTCAGAGTAAAGACATCATCAATTTTCATTTGATGAATAATTTGATAGATTCCAAATGATCTTCAGATTTCAGCTTTTTGTACTGGAGAAAGCAAAATTATATTCCTACCTCTGCAAGGAGATGTGTAACCATGTCGATGTCATTGTAAGTTTTGGTCATCTGCTCCACCCTGTCTGTGCCTAGAACTAAGGCAGTTAAAAACAACACTTTAGAAGTTTTAGAAGTAATAGGAAGTCTTAAATATGCATAAGATCTGAAAGATAACAAACCCAGTCTTTTACAAAGAGCCATCCAGGAGAATAAAAATATGGTTAAAAAAAAAAAAAAAGGAAAGAAATGTTTCATGCATTAGAGACTCAGGAAACAGACCAATTATTATAAACAAAATGTGCATCATACAACCGATAAGAAACTATCAACTGATCACAAGGCAGTCACCTCCTATCTTGTCCCTTAGTGAGATCAGAAGTTTGGCCCACTCACACGAGAGGATATGAGCTAGAAGAATAATTACATTGCCAATTATTTTATGTCTTAATCTAAATTATTGAGGGAGTATACTGTTGCAAAGGAATCTAATTAAAATTCTGTTGTGGTTATCTTGAACATCTATAATCACCTACACCATGTGCGCTAATAACAGTAACAAGGAATAGGACTTGTAAGACTTTTGGTAGTTCTATTATGAACTATAATCCTTTCAGGCTTTATCACAAATCCTTTATCTTTGTGATAATATTTCTCATATATAGGCACTAGCTACAAAATAAATTGTATACTAATACTAGAACTTGCATTAGCAAGCCCCATATTTCTGTACTTCATAAATTCAGGAACTGTCAATGAATTTGGATAAGTTAGCTCCAATGAGAAGGGCAAATGTGCTGGTTGACAGTATTAGAGATAGTGGAAAAAGTTTTAAAGTGACAAAAAGAAAACAAAAACTCTAGAAAGAAACATTTTTACTCCAAAATAATTTATATTTCAAGTTAGAGAAAGTGGCTCCATAGTTTAATTACAGGATAAGGGAAACAGGCTTTTGGGACTAAGGAATCTACTATTTAATTTGGCAGCACAGCAGGAATAAAGATTTAAAAATAAAGCAGACACTTAGAATGTGCAATCTCCTCTACCTTTATTCCCAAAATTAAGATGAGGGGAAAAATCAAATCAGTGTATCTATTCTCTAAACTAACTACAGAAACCACATAATGGTCTAAAAACCAGATGTAACCCAGGACAGTTAAGTTTTAATTCCTGATGCTAATTTAATTTTGGAGTAGCCCCAGGTAGTAAGTAAAAGATGCTCAGGTGCTCTATTATGGAATTAGGGATGAAAACCAGCAATTTGGGATTAATACTCAAAGCAAGAACCAAGAATTCCGGAGTCAGTTAAAAACAGTTTTTATAAAACTAATTAAAAAAAAATCCATGACATGGTTCATGTTACATGACTGGCCAGAGTTGAAGATGAAGTGGTAAATTTAATCTGAAGTAAAGCAAGTTAAGGATGTACTAAACACTGGTGAGCAACAAGTCACACATGATGAAATGGGAACAGAAGATGAAGGATACAGTAATAAGAAATGTTTAGAATGAAACATAGCTTAGTGAGAAGAAACTAAAATATACTTCCTATAAATGCTTACCATGTGTCACAGTCTTAGAATAAACAGGGGTACCTTAAGAAGTTACCTAGTTTTGAATGATTTCATTTTCTTGTAAGGAATCTTGACAATAACAATTATGTGACATGCCCAAGACCACAAAGCAAGCTAGTAATGGCAAAGCAGGAGAATATGGAGGTGATAATGACTTCCACCTCAAAAGGTCATAAGAAAAAACCTGGGGCTGCTCATTCCAACTAATGGGCTCTGTGCACCAGGCTGTTGTTTCTATGACGGCTTCACTAAGAGCAGCATCAACAGTTGATGCTCTAGCTGATGAAATAAAATCGATCTGCTCAATTTGATGTCAGTCAGTCACAAAACATATAAGAACACAATGGATTCCTCTCTGCAGCCTAATCAGTCTGTTTTTCTTCCCTAACACAACAGTCCTGGATAAAGACACGCTGCTTGGGATGATTCCAGAAGTACTCAGGGCAATACTCTTAAGTGTTTTCTTGGCTTTTAGGCCTTGTGATTAAATGCTTCCAAGGCCACAGATTTAATTCTTCACTGTAATTCTGTAACCAAAAATGAGAAAATCAGCAGGATGACTTTATTATAATCAATTCCATCAATTTCTACATTCTTTTCAGTTCTCAACAGTTAAAAATACACAAAATAGTACAGAAATTAGCAATGCTCCTTGCTTGTTTCCAGACAAGAACTTACCTTAACTCTATGAAAAAAATATTTACACATAAGGGTATAAATATTTTTACAAAAAAATTTTGCAACTTTGTTTCTGGAGGTTGCTAATTAATCTTCAACATTTTTGTGTAATATTTGGAGAACCTAATGTTTCTGAAAAAACATCGAGGGGGGTATATACACAAAGTACTAATCTTTCTGTTTTAACTGCATTATTTCACATTAACCACCCCAATTCTCATTTTTTTAAGGATAGGAAACGACAATTTTTAAGACTTCCAATCTTTCATCACTCTTCAACCCTCCCACAGCAAAACAAAGACAAAATAATTAAAAAAAAAAAATAACACTCAAACACTACCCACATGGCATAGTTGAGCTACAATAGTTTCTGACAACAACCAACAAGTATTATAATTTTAACCTCAAAAAAGAGACTGCAGCTCTGTTGCTATAACACTGAGAACACTTCTGCAGTACAAAAACTGCCTTCAAAAGAACTGAGATAGCATAAAAAGGAGGAGACTGATGATACATACCATCTTTCCGCAGGTTTGCTGGGGAGAAAGAAGTACTACAGACAATGATTTGAGGGACCGTTTTCTTTAGGGTATACCTGACTTAACTCTCTTCTGTCAGAGAAGGCTGATCTAAGAAATTATAAATCTCTTATCATCCATGCCGTGACTTACAGTGTTTGCTTTCTGAACATTTTAAGTTATATTTCCTTTCCTGCCAGTACAGGTTAATGAGGGCAGAGCTTGAAAAAAAAAATAACTATCAGAAGCAATATTTCTATAACTGTGTATCTCTGTGAAACTGTACACCTTCTTTAATTCCTTAAATTCTTCCAATTAATGTCCTTTTGAAATGGCCATTTGGCTTTTGTTGACAAAGCTTTACAACAGTGGTTCTCAAATCTAAGTGTGCATGAGTCCTACCAGGAGGATTTGTTAAAACACAGATTGCTTTGCCACACTCCTAGAGTTTCTGATTCTGTAAATCAGGAGAGGGTCCAAAAATTTGCATTTCTAAAAAGCACCCAAGTGATGTTGTTGATACTTAAATAAAACTTAGACAAACAATTACTTTCGCTCCCTCTTTTTCTTATACATTAGGAAGTGGTACAGTAAACTTTTATTACCAAATAAAAATGCCCTGAAAGGCAGACCACATTTCCATTTTTAGTGTTTACATGAAGAAATGATACTTTCTGTTACCGTGTACTCTGTTTGCAGCCCCTTGTCCCACAGCTCATTCTGGGTCTCACTCTTGACAAAATTAAGAAAACCCTGGAATGACCTGTTCCACATATTAAACATTCTTTGAGCATCTTAAACTGTGTGTGTGTTGCAGGAACTAGGATGGAACTATTTTCTTGACCTACCCATTACTCACAAGTGTTCTATTTAAAAATAAACAATCTTTTCCTGGTTCTCTGGGGGGTTTCAGGGAACAACCATTATTATCCTTTTGTTACTTGAGCTCGGTGCCCAAACCAAGGCCTGTTCATGTTTCCTTAGAAATTTCTTTATTTTCTTCTCAGAGCGCTTTTAATTTCTTTATTACATAAGTGAGAAAGTGCCTCTGCTCATGCCACTCCTTATTAATTGTTAAAATTAATTTTAATGAGCACAAATACTTATTGGCATGTGAGGAAAGAAGGGATAAGAAGGAGCTAAAGTAACACCAGGAAGCGAGCCCTGGAATGGCTTGCAAGGCATGTAATTATTATTCAAAACCACAAATTGTGACATCTCAAGGGAATAGAACACTGTGGGAAAGGGTAGGAGACTGTTTTACATCTTACTTTTTAAATCCTTGATAAATTTACTATATAAGGTAAATCACTTATCTTTTATATTCCTGAGATGGAACTTCGTAATGAAGTTTATTTTCACTTAAGTGAACTATTAACCTAAAGAACTGATCTTTAACATACACAGTGTAATTATAGTATAGAGATCGGGTTTTATGGACTAATTATAATCCTAGCTTATTTGCTTCATGATCTTAGGTATAACATACATAATTTGACTTTCAAATTGTTGAAGTGAAAAAGTACCATAAGACTGAAGAAACAAGGTTGTTTTCTAGAAACTTGAAGTACGGATCTGAGATTCACTCCATTTAATGTCAAGTTTTAAACTGCTCCCTTGAACATTACAGTTGGTTTGTATAAAGTCCTAAAAACCAAGTATTTCAGAATTAACATTTTTTATTTCTAATCTTTTATTTAAAATTCTTTCTAAAAGCAACCCCATTAGATCATGATCTAAGACATCTTTCCAGCTATAGTTTCACCCTTCAGTGGCCTACAGGGCAGAGAACAAGTAAATTAAGGGTCACTTTCTGTGCCACTTTATTAAAATAAACTATAAAATTTATACTGGTGAAATTTCAGTTTGAAATTTTCTTCTCAAATATCTGAAAACTCATAAAGGGAAACGGAAATAAAAATAGTACTCCTACTAAAAATCATTTTCCAGAAAATATCAAGCAAGCAACTTCGCAAGCTAGAGAGTTAAGTAAATCTTCGGAGCCTTTATTTAATATTCAGCTACTTAAAATAATTATTGAAAGCAGAAATACATTTTTGAGTATCTTCAAATTCCATTTCAAGTGTAAACAATGGTTTACAATTCTTTTTCTGGGCAGTAAGTAAACTGGTTCTTGGAAACAAATAGTGAAAGCAAGTTAATTATTACTATGAAAATGAGTATTTCACAACAATCATTCTCCAGCTACAATCTTTATAAACACTGAAGGACTCACTGGGAAAATGTCTAAGACCTGATGCAGTCTCATATTTAATTCTCAAGAAAAGAATTCCATAAGCCTATCGACATTGAACTTACAGACTTTTATTATATAATCTTAACAGTCACTATGAACCCATTTTTACAGTGAATGGATAAAGAGTTAGTAAGCTCTGTCTGACCGTAGGTTTTTGGAAGGAGGCCAAAAGGAAAAAAGGTCTTCATACTTTAAAGTTAAAAAGTGTTCTATGTAAGTTTTGCCATTTCTAAGGGTTTGGTATAAAACATATTTCACGATAAATCTGGCTTAGTCTTTTACTGAAATATTCTTTATGAAACCTTAAGTAAACAATAGAGACCACTGTTCAGTATGCACTTATTTCTCCTTGGCATTATTAACTATTTATGTATCCAAGAACTATGGTTCTTAATGACTGACATATTTCCTCTGTGTTCAACAAGGAAAATCAAAACCCTGATGGCACAAGACATCAAACTATTTGGGATAACAGATGTTGAGAGATATAAAGGAATATGTTAATTAAAAAATTTTAAATAACTCCACTACTTTTTTTTTTTAAGTTTCCTTTTCTACTTGGTTTGAGGAAATCATTAAGTAAAAGGTGGGAGAAATGGAAACATCTGTGTATGTGTGTGCTATGGGAGGTACTCAGTCATAATAATGACAAACTCTGCATTCAGATCAGAATCAATCACCTCTTGGTGTAAAATTAGCTTGAGTTAAATTAAATAAACACTGCACAATGGCTAGGGACATAAATATTTTAAGGGCCAATACCAAGAAACTCCTAATATTTATTTCAAATGAAAAACTGAAAGAATAAAAAATACTCACTCATATAACGAAAGGTTTCTTCGGCAAGGACTGGAGAGAGGGTATCAGATGCATGTTGCTGCTGGCGTGGGGACTGAGTCCAGTCTTGATTTTCATATATAAAGAGAGAGTCTACTCTCAGCTTATACTGGGGTAGCTGCTCTTCTAGCAGACTCACCAGTTCAACTTCAGGGAGATCCTCATTGGAGCAAACATCTAAAGAAGAGATTCCATGCAAACAAGACCAATATATTTCAATTTACTGGGATACAGAGGAAAAATCAGCAAAATTAGTTCTGCAAAAGTAGGATTACCAAAGAAACATTAGCCAAGAGTATTTCTCCACTGATTTTTATTAATATACTACAGTTGGTCTTTCTCTTTTTATTAGTATAAGAACTCTATAATGATATAAACAACACTACCCTATCTAAAAATATTATTTAGTGAATAAACTGCCTTTGAAGTTTAAAATGAACTTAGACAAATGTCTTATTTCCACTTTATTAATCTATTTACTTTTACTTAAAAAAGCTGATCTCAAATAATTTATATGCTTGCAGGGGAGAAAGGGAACAGAAGACAACCAGTAGAAATAGCCAATTCAAAAGGAATAAAACTACATGCTCCTTAATAACAGAATTTGAACTCTGTGGGGAGATAATACATGTTAGTCTATTCTCACAGCAGTTAGATATTTATAAAAAATTAACATTTACTAGTTACATGTTAACCAATAATGTTAACATTCCAGCTGGTACCATGATAAGTACTTTCTCCTATTTGTAAGATATGCTACAGTTAGTCCTGGATACATTTTACATTATTCCTCTCCCACCTGCATACCTCTGACTACCCACTGGACACACATCTCTAAAAACACTTTATGTGTTTGCTCCTGGCTTCCTGTTACAAATACTGCTCATCATTTAACACCTCCCAAATTTAGCAGTTTACTTAAAAAAAAGAAAGAAAGAAAGTCCTTTTACCATGCTTAAAATACTAGGGCTTAATGTAGAGAAAACACAGGATGTCATATCAATCCTGTCACTTTTAAAGAGGTCTGGTATTTCCTTTGTGGGCAGTGTAAAGAAACATGTTCTAACTCTGGCAAACAAAAACAAAGGTCATTTTAAGAAAACATATCTACGGGCCTCCCCTGGTGGCGCAGGCGGTTGAGCGCAGCACTGTGAAGCTGCCCGCAGCCTCTGCCAAGCGCAGGTTTGATCCCGGCCGGCCGGCGAGAATGCCACATGGTGCGGCAGACCTCTCCTATCTTGCCTGCTGCTCCCCTCAGCAGTGTATTTCAGTTAATCTGCCTGTTCTGTTCCCCACTCTGTCTCTGGTGAATCCTCTCACCCTCCCGCACATCTGCCTGTATCCCGGTTCTTGTATGCATGAATAAATAAATCAAAAAAAAAAAAAAAACCAAACATATCTTAAAAGAGAAAATTCTACTTGACCTGAATAATGGTAATTTAATAAATCAAATACAAGAAGGTTGACAGTATCAGACAATCCTATTCACCAGAAAAACAAACAGTGGTTTCATAATTACAAAGATGAGGTACATTTAAAAGCTTAAAGATGGGTCTAGAAAAGCTCTCAACTTTTACCAGATCTCTTAAATAAGAGTCCTGAAAATACATTCAAATTTTATTACTACAAATTCCAAGTAATTGACCAAATTTTTGCTGCCACAATTCTATTACATATAAACTCCATTGTAATACTTGCAGGAAGAGAAGTTGACTGCAAATACATGTAGAGCTAAAAATGGACTTTTAGACATTCAAACATAAAATGGAAATGAAAAACAAAAGAAAACTTCATTGAAAAACCACTATTCCCAGTGTTTTTCTTTAATAAGTATTAACAGAATTACGTAGAAATTTGATTACAGGTGATTTTAAAAATGAATGTATATATAATCAATGTTTAGTAGATCAAGCTAGATATCCTTCAGACTACTTCCTGTTTGCTTCTGTATTTTTGATAATGTACTATCATATTCTTCTGATTGTCCCATCTTAACAACCCCCTCTCTACCATTTTATCTTCCAATTGTCTCTACCATATGACCACTTCTTTCTAGTCAGATTGACTCAATTAAGGGTAAAGGCTTATTTTTATTTCTCTTGAATATGTTTCCAAATGGGTCTGCCCTCTTCACACTCAAATTTTCCTCTACATCTTTATGTCTTTATTATATCACATTCAGACAGGTATGAATTTGATTTGTGTGCAAAAACCTCATGAACAGTTGGGACAATTAGTGAAGGTCCTAAAAGGGTTATGCTTACTGGTAGTGGGTTAAATTAATGCTCAAATAAAGCACATGAGAGGGTATGGTCTAGAGTATGATCTAAAGACACACAAAACAGAGATTAAAAACAAGCCTCAAAAGGACAGACAAATAACTTAAGGACCTGCAAAAACAAATTTTAACAGTCTTATAAGAAAGACAATATAATCCAAACACTGAATAATTTAACATGCGATAATATTCTTAGTAAATAAGAATGTCATAAAAATGATATTTATTGTTAAAATAAGTTAAAGAAGACCTAAGAAAGTGGAGAGATATTTCATGTTTATGGAATAGAAGACTTAATAGTCTTCAGATGTCAATTCTTTACAGAGTTTATGTAATTCTATTCAAAATTTCAGGACTCGTTTTTGGTAGAAATTGACAAGTTGATTATTAAATTAGTACAGAAATGTGAAAAATCCAGAATCAGCAAAACAAGTTTTGAAAAAGAAGATCGAAAGTCTTCTTTCTTCACTCGACCTGTGGTGATGTGAAGACAAGTATGATGCAGCTCCTGCTGACCAGGGGCTCAGTGGTATACAGGGGAGTCAGACAAAGATGGCAACTGAACACAATATAGGTTTTGATAATGCAAGAGGTTGGTTGGGACAGAGAGATTAATTCAGTCAGTCTCTGAAGCGACCAGGCTGGAAAGGGAGGTCCAGGGATTCATCATGGCAGGTCTACTCATATACATCAAAATTTGCATTTTACCCTGTAAGCAGCAGCACTTCAGTACTTATTAAACTAGACTCACCAGTGATGCTCTCTGAGTCTCTGTGGTTGCTATTCATGAGGGTTTCTTCACCTGTTGGTGATGTAAAAATGGCATTCTGGGGTTGACTCATGCAGGATCCTTTCTTGCTTTGGTTGAGAAGGAGAGCTTTGGTATGAATCAGAATAAAGGAAATCCATCAAGCCATTAAAAAAAGAAATGGATCTGGTTGTATGAATATTTTCTTTGAAGCAGATTTTTCTTGATGAGTCAAATGACATCTGCAGCAATGAATGCTCTCATGTGATCATCAAACCCTGGAACAGTCATGACCTAAAAAACGAAAAAGAACACATCAGGTGATTTTAGAATTCAGCATGCTCATTACTAACAGCAGTCCAATTATCTGGCACATCTGTCATTAAGAATGTTTTCCTAATGATACCCACAACATGGGTAATCTCAAAATAATCTGGCTGTATGAAAGAAGCCAGAGAAAAATGTACATAGTTCATGATTCCATTTAAATAAAATTTTAGAAAATGTAAACCTATCTGTAGTGACAGAAAACAGAGCAGTAGCTGCCTGGGGCTGGGGGAGGATTACCAAGGGACAGAGAGAAGCTTTGGGGATGATGAATATGTTCATTATTTTATTGTGGTGAGTTTCACAAGTACATACAAATGTCAAAACTTTTCAAAATCATACACTTGAAATATATGCAATCTGATGTAGGTTAATTATAATTCAATAAAATTGTTAAGCTTTTTTAAAAAAATAATGATCTGCTTATAGTATAAAACAACAATATATTGTGAGGTCTGTACATGTATCACAAAGGTCAGGAGGAGAAAATGGAAATATGCTGCTGCAAGGCTTTTATACTAGAGGTGAAGTAGCAAAACATAATTGAAGACAGGCTGTGATAATTTAAACATGTACACTATAAAGTCCTGAAGCAAAAAAACAAAAAAACTCAACAATTAAACATAATAAACACACAAAGGAGATTAAATAAAATAATATAAAACAGTGTTTCTCAACTTTGGCACTACTGACATTTGGAGCCGAGTAATACTTTATACACAATAATTTGCATTGCATGATGTTTAGTATTGTGTGTGTGAGTAGAATCCTCTCCCCAGAGTGACTATGTGATTCTTCAACGAAAGTTTGTCGATCCCTGATTTAACAGTGAAATAATTCAGACAGTTTTCTAAATCAGTGCTTTCCTAGATCAATATATTAAACAGGATCAGTCCCCCACCCCCACAATTTTTTTTATTTTTTACATTATTGTTATTTTTAAACAATATTTGCTTCCTACCACCCACTCAGGTGTAATCTCCATAGAGTTTCCTTCACCCATGCACCCATGCACCATCACCCCAGTCCCCTGTGCTCCTCCCTCCCTCCCTCTAATCCCTTTCTAATCCCTCCCCTGCAGGATGTCTCTGATTTATGATTGTCTGTACCCCTACATTTTGATACTTGTAATTAGGTCACTACATCTAGAAGGATTTCAGTAAAGACAGACTTCTACTTTCAACATCACCAAGTGAATTAAAGTTATTTTCAATTTCCAAGAATGTATTTTTAAACTAATATGACTTTTGTTTATGATGAAGGAAAAGGTGAGGAGAGGGAAGATAAATAAGGAGGGAGAAAGAAAAAGAGAGGGGGTAGGAGTATACAAAGGAAGAGGATAAAAGCAATATTGGTTTAAACTGGTTCTTAAATACAATTGTGGTTTTAATCATATTTTAATCAACGACCATTATGAAACTCTAACAATAACCTTGGGACCTTGTGCTTGCCACTCTGTTAACACTGTGTATATATTGTCATTTCTGTTTTTTTTTAATATTTACTTATCTCTTAGAGGAATACAAAAAAGCTGTATGTAAGTAAGTTTCAACTATATCTGCTTTAGAGAATTACTTTTTAATAAGTTTTGGACATATTGTTAATAGTTTGTCTTAACTTTCACATACAGGAACAGAGAAAATCAAGTTAAACAAAGAACAGAATCATCTCCAGTGTCATGTAGAATGCAGGAAGAACTTAAACATCGAGGGCAATCTGGGAACCTGGCAAATTTTTAGACTATACACCTAATTGGGGATAATTTGGAACTGCTCTGCTTTTCCTGGTGAGTCTTTAGAACTAAACAAATCCTTTGGATATGCCCTGGTCTTGATCTGTTCTTGGTAGGATTAGTTTGGAATAAAAAAGCTGAGTAAAGAACAATTATGCACCTTGGCATTAGCCTGAATTTCCATCTTATTTACTGGCTTTCTGACCTTGAGCATTTAACAGCTCCTCATTGTCAAGGTGACAGCAATAATTAACTACCCTTCATAGGCACAGTCAGGTATGAGGACTAAATGAAAAACAGAACAGTTCTAATTTGGCATCTGACCTTTAATGCTCATTTTCCACAACTCCCCCCTTTCAGAGGGGGGAGGGAAAGATGATGTCTTCTGGCAAACATTTCTTTAGTTTCTGGCTCAACTCTGAGCCCAGAATGGTTATCCTGTTTGAGTATGGAATAGATGTAGTCTAAAGATTACCTCTGAGTAATCTTCCTAGAGAAAGAGATAAGGACTCAAACTGCTTGTGGCATGTAAAGTGACAGTGCCATAAAGCAGGATTATTGAAGATCATTCAAGCTCATTCCTTCCTCATTCTGGGGTAAGGATGCCTATAATAAAAAATCTTAATTATAACCAGTATCTTTATCCATAGCATAGTTTCCTATGTACTCATTTCTCATTGCTGCTGCAACAAATCACAACCAATTTAGTGACTTATAACAACACCAATTTATTATTTTACAGTTCAGAACATCAACAGGTGAAATGGTTTCAATTGCCCAAGTCCAAAGTATTGACAGGGCTGTTTTTTTCTGAAGGCTCTAGGGAAGAATCCGCCTCCTTGTTTTTTCAGGGGCCCTTCCTCCATGTACTTTGCGAGTGTGTGTGTGTGTGTGGTGTGTGTATTGATTTATGTTATACTAGCTGGTGGGCACAAAGCAATCCTCCTTAACACAGTTAACAATTAGCTTCACTCTGAACATTTCAAAGGACATATTAAAAAAAAAGTCTTCATCTTACAACTTGTTCTGGAATCCAAATATACAATTGACTTGGAAAATAACATGCATAAAACAAAAGCCAATGTAAAAAGACAGATTAAGATACACAGAATAGTACAAGTTTTGTATGTTCTGGTTTTACAGTTTTCTAACAGCATCATCTGTTCCTTCAGCTGGCTCCATTACTTGGGGTTTAAAGAAATACCCCCCTTTCAAATCCATTCAGTAACTCTAAGATCAATTAGGACTTTCCCTTTAAAGACCCAAGCACTAACATACCGCAGTTTCCCTATCTGAAACATAGTATGAGCTCTGCTGCGGCCAGTCTGCTTAGGGGATGACAGGGCTCTTGAAGTCGCACCAGTCTTCTGTTTCTTTACAGGTTTTTCTGGAGTAACCTGCTTTTTCCTCTTTAACTTTTTGCAAACTTCACTGTCAAAACCACTGCCAGCAGAGCTTGGAGAACCAAGATTCTTTGATGCAGACACTGCTCCCCTCTAACGCTCCAGTGCTGGCAGTGCGCTTGCTCAGGGCTCCCCTTCCGCTATTTCCAAAGCCAGCAGCACAGAATCTTCATCTCTCTCTGCTTCCACTGTCACATCATCTTCTTCTGTCAAATCTCTACCTCCCTTTTATAAGGACACCTATGATAACATTTACGGTCCAACTGGATTATCCAGGATAACTTTCCTATCCCCAAATCCTTAATTTAGTCCCTTGGGCAAAATCCCTTATGCCATATAAGGTAATATTAACCACAGTGCTTAAGAATGTGGATTGTGGAACTAGACTGTCTAATATAAACCCCTGCTCACCCACTTACTAGTTATATGACCTTGGACAAATTGCTCTTTATTCAAATGTAAAATGGGCCCAATAACAAAGTCTACTCTGTGGGCATGCTAAGGGGTTTAAGTAAGATATGAGAGAATAGTAATAGCACCGACCTCAGATAGTTATTAGGAATAACATGAGTGAATACAGGTGAGGCTCTTAGAATAATGCCTTAGAATACAGTAGATGTGATGCGAATATTAGTTATAATTATTTCTATCACCATCATTGTTGTTATCTTACAGCGACTGTACCTTATACAAAATTTGAGTATAAAGACTATTCTTTCATGCTTAATGACATCTTCTCTCAGAATATGAAGTCACATTTATTTCCTGCCCTGATGAATGATGTAAGTTTAGTGCCATTTATCATTTCCTTTCTACCTCTCTGGTGCATGACTACAGAAAGCTTGCAGAGTCAAAGTCCTAATAAAAACCAAACTGGCAAGCACAAATAACACTTTTTCAATGCCTTTGCTAGTCTGTACACACATTTCTTAACACTTTTTTGTTTTACTGTCTATGCTGGATCTTTATTCACCATCAACAAGCCAGGCTTCAAGCACAGCTTGGATAAAGTAAAATAGGCAAGTGACTTAATTTAATAAGAATGAAACTTTAAAAAAAAAAAAAACAACCAAAACATGCCATTGATATAAATATTGCTGGCAAAAACAACACAGCTAATGACTTAGTTTAGCCTAGCCATGGAAACTACATGGACAACAGTGAGTGTCTAAATATAGGTTTTGTGTTTTAAACAAATCTTGCTACTTCCTTAAAACAGGACACCCAGCCCAAAATAGCCTTATATAAAAGGCTAAAATAATTCAGGGAGACATCCCCTCAATAAGCATGAAGAACCTAGGATTACAGCAAATATAATTCAATGAAACTTTTAAATTGGAAATATATTTAAAATTTTATTGTACAAATAGTATTTTGAAGATTAAATTACACTCTGGCTGTTGATCTGCATGCAGATGCAGCAGATCTTTTGAACAGTGGCACCCTTAATCCAGACAAAAGATAAACTGTGTAATTTTAAAATTAAGCACACTATGTTCCTACATTAAACAATATCTTCTTGACAAAGACAGAGAGAGACTCATTAATTTTAATGTTCTATCTATATCAAAAGTAAGATTTATTAAAAATCACAATAATTTTTAAAATTCAGTTAACATTGGTTTACAATGTTGTTTGTGTTATAGAGGTGTAAGATCTCACTATATGGCGGCTACAGTGCTAAGAGCTGAAATGAGGGGGGTCACATCTCCACTCAAATCCAACTTGGAGAGTGAACAGCAGACCTCACAAAGGTAGTCCACACACCAACACCAAGAGCAGCTGCAATGATGTGCCACAGCAGATTACACTGGCTACAGCTAGCACAGTTC